TCGGCTTGCCCCGAACGAAGACATGACCGAGAACTATACATTGCGATTTTGTATCGTATTCTAGTTTTAATAAGTAAAAATTATATCCTTATCCACACAATGAATTTACAAAAGTTATTCTTCTGTTGATAATAGTACTTAAAAGCCACTGTGATTCAGACATGTGTACCATGGAATGAAATGTTGAGGTCAGTGAAATTTCCGATGTTGATATTGACACAGTTGACGATGATGATGATGATGGTGGTGATGATGATTCTGTTGCTGCTGTTGATTATGATGATGAAAATGATGGTTGCTATGATGATGATGAAGATGATGATGGTGGTGGTAATGATGGTGATGTTGATGATTATAGTGGTGGTGGTGATGATGATTATGTTGCTGATTATGATTAGGATGCTGATAATGATGATTATAATGATAATGATGGTGATTATGATGATGATAATGACGGAAATTATGGTGATATTTAAACTGAATAAGAAATAGTATGAATGGTAAAAATTGGATAACTATGACGTAAAAGGATGATATAGATATCTAAAATACTGAAGATGATAAGATTATTGTTGTAATCATGATGACTGTTATTGTAAAAACAATTTGAATGATATGATTACAATAACTACAAAAAATGATGATAACCTTAAACATCTGACGGTGTTGATAATAGTAATCGTGATGACCGTGATTCCGTTAACGACAATGACGACGACGATGACGATGATGATGATGATGATGATGATGATGGAAATTAGTAAAGTAATGAAAACAGCGACGTATCAAAGATAATACGTATTGGTTCAGTTGTGACAGCCATTATTTTTTCAATCTGGTAGGTTTTAGGTTAAAGAAATTGATATCGCGAAATCAGTGAGTAAATGAAATGATAATCATATGAGTTAATATCTATAATTACTGCGGAAAGAAATGGAGAATTGTTTTCCAAGACAAACATAATACCCGGTAGGTTAGTGATTTGTCAGTGGCAGTAAAAATGATTTAATTTGATTGTGACATCTTTATTAAGATGCAGTGTAACACCGCACTTTGGGGTCAAACGCACTTTGGGGTTGGACCCCAAAGTGCGTTACTTTGGGGTCATAGAAAATTAAAGTTCATTATGTTTTAAATAATATATTGTAGTCAAAGCCAATGGTAAACAAAAAAATCAAGGCATTAAATAGACACAAACATGTGCCCTGAATTATAGTAGAATCAATAGGGATTTAAATGATCTTGATTAGTAAGTGAAGAACTTTCACCAAATAAATCACCAAATAAAGAATTTGTATCTACTGTTAAGCTTAAAATATTTTTTCTCAAATTTTCCATTTATTTTAAAAGAATGTACACCTTTCATTAACTCCGTTGTTTTTAGCTAAATGCATCATTTTCCCGTTTTTTATTTACACATTTTTAAGAAATATGATAGTCTTAGCATAGACAAAGGTATAAATTCTGGGAAATCTGAGTAAGACATTTCAGTAAAAAATGTGCCTGATAATATGATGAAAGGGCCATTTATTTAGCTAAATGTGACATATAAGAAACTTGACTAGGTGTAGATGCGGCTTTAAGTAGTAGTCCGTACAGGCAGTACTAAAAATATCAACTATTTAAGTAGTCGCACATTAAGAGCGGAGCTTCAGAATAATGTAAAATTCTCTTTGGGGGTATAGAGGGGATTGTGGGGTATTGATCCCCCCGAGGGTTAAAAATAACGTTTTAAAGGCACAGTATGCTTTTATTTGTTTTTCTTAAAAGCTTTTTTATTTTGATGTTCTTCTATATTATCCAAAAAATACACATTGGTCAATTACCTGACCCATCTTTTTCATCTGTTGCTTTTTGGCAATGATGAGTACAGTTATAGTGAATTAGTATTTTATATGGAAGTCAAAGTGTTTTGACTTCTTTTATGACGAATAATTTCACAGTTATCGCTACTTTATTCAGGTAACAAGCATCTTACATTTCTCAGATACCATTATTTTAACATTATAAAATTCATGTTTGCTCTTTCTTAAGATGTATGTAAGATTTCCCATAAAAAAGCCTCTGGCGAACGGTTGTTCTGGAGCTTACAAAAACCCTTATGTTTGTTGATAAGCTTAATAATGTTTTTGTAAAAATCACTATTTATAGTCCGATCGAAAAAAAAATTCACCAGAACATTGCAATAGAGTATATTTATAGTTCTTTGGAAAAAGACATTAACTGCATTTTTTTCATTCCCAACATATTTAAAATGGGGCTCAATATGGCACCAAAAGTTATCAAGTAAATGACCGACAGAACGGGATACTTTTCGCAGCATCTTTTAATTCTAGGAATACATAATTTCTGTACTAGAGTATTTTGAACGGTGGCATAAAAGTGACATTTGTATTTTTTTTTCTACTTTTTTTTGTTTTTCGTAATATTTTTGTTTGTTTGTCGTAGATATTTTTTTTTACTTGTAGTTTTGAATACATACTTTTTTTTAGTTTTGCATACATATTCTTTTTTAGTTTGCATACATATTTTATTTTAGTTTTGCATACATATTCTTTTTTAGTTTGCATACATATTTTATTTTAGTTTTTTGTACATATTTTATTTTTGTTTTTTCGTACATATTTTTACATGACGCCATTTGCAAAGTAGAGGTTTGGATAATTACACCATTTGTTAAACACCATTTTCAAACACTTCGCCATATGTAAATTAGTTTTATACTCAACTATGGGCTGAGATTTGAAGGCTGTTTTGATTGGCTAAAATATGTATGAAAAACAAAAATAACATATGTACGAAAAACAAAAATAAAATATGAATGCAAAACTGAAAAAAATATGTATGCAAAACTAAAATAAAATATGTATACAAAACTAAAAACAAAAAAATGCAAATGTCACTTTTATGCCACCGTAATTTTGTTATATGAACACAATTTTTAGATATTTCAAGTGGTAACATTAATGAAACTTTTATCACTTAAGCATCATAAAGTATTGACCGCCATCTTGAACTCCAACTCAAATATTCCAATGTCGCAGATAGAAAATAAGTCAGTACTCAGTATTTAAGCAGAACTCAGATGACACCTTTAGACCTCTTGAACCCAAAGTGCGTTGATATGTAGCATATTAACGCACTTTGGGGTCAATTTCTCGATTTTGATCCCAAAGTGCGTTTGACCCCAAAGTGCGGTGCGAAGTTTAACGCACTTTGGGGTCGGACCCCAAAGTGCGTTTGACCCCAAAGTGCGGTGTTACAATGCAGTATACGTATGTTAACACTTTTTTCGAGGACAAAAACAAATAGTACAAAAAGAGTCCGGTGAAAATCCGAATTGGACAAAATACTCTGTAACACGTTTGTTTATTCGGCATTAACATAGTCGTGACAATGCTGAAAAGGGATTATTCCTAGGAAGCTCTGAAAAATAATTTGCAAATCACATATATATACTCTTTTTGACTGAGACATTTCATGCACATGATCAGTTCATCATTTCTTATATCCCCTGGTATCGTTTCAGCAATGTTATATTTCTAACACTTTAGAAATGCCAACAATGACCCCAAAGGACGACCCCCCCTAAAAAACAGAACAAAACAAAAAACAACAACCAAACAAACTGAGAACAGACATACTGTATATTTTAAATTGAATCAGGCAAGTTGTTCAAATCAAACGCTACCCAATTTGTGAACTTTGTATCAACCATTGACCATTTTTATCAGATTAGGAAAAAACTATCCAAATACTATTAGTTGAAGGCCGATATTTCCTTGGTAACCAGCGTTGTTATGAAATATGTCCGGATTCCAATTTGTGATAGAGGTTGTATTCATCTAAGCAATACATCACTTTTAATACTGATACACATTGTTGATAAAATAAAGCGCCAGGTAACGAGAGGAAACAGCTCCCGGTGAGCTATCTATGTTAAAACACAACAGATAAAACTCGTTCAGAGCCGTATACGGCGTAAAGAACTAAATTATACACAAAGACGCAATTTGTCCAAATGAGTACGTATAATTTAAAAAAAATAAAATCTTATTAACAAAGAAAAAAAAACGGAAGAAAAAAACAGAGATGTAAATGAGACCTATACTAATACTAAATAATCGAACACGGTTATCTGTCTTTAGTTGTTATGAAAAAACTTCAAATATAAATCAAAGATAAACAGGTTGGAGACTCAAACATGTTTGACATGGTTTATTTATTGAATTGGCAATAATCAGTGTTATCTTATCAAAATGTAGAGTGAATTTGTCTTTTTTCCCCCAATCGAAAAATACCCCTGTCGTTATTAAAATCTTTGCTTTTATCATTTTTTGGGGTGAAGCTTCCTTTTTGGAGCTTTTCTTTTTTAGTTTTACATAATATGTTGGGAAATTATTGTGATTGAGGGGGTAAAAACAGTAAGTATATTAAATACCAGTAATGATTTTCAAACGTAAAATTTTACTTCTTTTCTCATCTTCCCAAACGTATCTTAACCTGGAATGGATTTGAATATTTTCAAAAAATAAAATCATATATTGTTTGTGCCATGTCTTATTATTAGGAACCAACTTATTATTATTCAACAACAACAACAACAACAACAACAACAACAACAACAACAACAACAACAACAACAACAACAACAACAACAACAACAACAACAACAACAACAACAACAACAACAACAACAGCAGCAACAACAACAACAACAACAGCAACAACAAGAAGCTAAAAATAGCCAAACAATCAGGTTGTAAAAATCCAAACATTCATTTTTTTCATATATATTATTTTTTTTTCATATTATTTTATTGGTATACAGATGAATCCTGAAAATTATTATGAATGTGTTTTTATGTAAAGAGCATGACAAGAAGAATTTACATAATTAAAACAAAACACACATATTTAGAACACGCATTTAACAAATTACTTGTAATCACAATTCATACCCCTTTTATTTTAAGCACATATGCCATTTGACCCTAAAGATACAGATTGGGATGTTCAGTGCTATAGAGAATTCTCCAAATATGACGCAAACAGTTTTTTGTCGTCTGGTAAAAGGTCAACGCCAAGGGAATGTTGCCACGAGGATTATTGCGAAAGCCAAGGCGTTAAGTGTCAAGTAAGCCAAATACTTATTTACAAATGTATTGCTCTTGCAAAAGGTGCTCTATACAAATATATTATACTCTGTACGAAGAATTTTAGCTTTTTATATCATCACAGGGTCCTGGGAATAATTCTGTCAATAGTCACGGGTGACTTCCTGTGATCTGTGTGGGACAGAAAAACCAAAACCAGAAGACGGCCCAGTAATTATTATCTGTCATAACTTTTTAAAAAATATTTCTTTAAAGTGACGAGTCTGCTTATTCTAATGAGTAACCCTTACAAAGAATATATCCTGAAAAAAAATCGTTAAGTGTAACCGCGCGAGTATCTGTATGTTCAACTACGCGGTTTAACTTTCCACAAAAATGATAATGTTTCCCCACTGAAACATGTTACTCACTAAAATAAGAAGGTTCTTCACTTCCTGAATAATATTATATCTATAAACCTATGGAAGAATTAAAATCTGAACCGTCTATTTTTTGCCACATGCAGAGAATAAAATGTCACGTGGTATAGGCACCGTGGTAGTTTTATCTCTGGTAGTATTAACCCTATTGAAGTGAATGTCCAATTGCAAAGAAATATCTCTTTATTTAATGTAAACAGAAGCTTATTCAAAATAACTTTAAAATTGACAGATATGCAATCATATACACATGTGAAATACTATTCTAGGATTACTGTAACGGTATAGATATCATGTCATTATGGCAAGGTTGCACCGCCATCGTAAACATTTAAGTTGTTATTATATCTAAAGTAATGCTGCTGAAACTTGCATACATTTGTAATTATAATCTTAATGTTTCTCGATTTTTTTTTTAAATATCTGCGACTTGCAAAGTAAATTGAAATGCAGAATAGAAAAATGGTATCTTTAATACATTGTGCGTTAATAAACCGTATTTTCTGAGCTCATAAGGGAGAGCATCGAACCATCAATCCAGGGGACACCGGTTTGATCGTCGTGGGCGAGGTGTCATTTCTCCGACCCAATTGATCGCTGATTAATAAATCACGTGTAATTAGTAATCGGTCACTTGCGAATAAATTGCTAATTACTCGTTGGTTATGCAGGAAAGTTGGTTAGCTGGATCGATTGCGAAAATATGACATAAAACATGCGTGGCAATGGGTGTAAAACATTCATAAAAAAGAAAAGAAAAACCACCACCGAAAACAACAACAAAGAAAAAAGGAAAAAAAATCCAAAAATCCAAACAAATCAATCAAAGGCCACAACTTGAGATGCACATATGTTCAAATAAAACAAATCGTAGGGGCTTTCCGATACTACAAATGTTAATATTAAGATGATTGTCACCATTGTTACAATAGGCTTGTCTTTATTGTAAGTCCGAAGCAGTTCTTTAGTAAAACAGAAAAAAATCAGTAATAAAAAAGTAACAATATATTCACTGATCCACTGAACCGGTTCAAACGTCAAGACATGCTGACTTACCTGGTACTACCTGATTACATACTTTGAACTGTTATTTCAGACAAAACCAACATAATTGGTTTGCGACCAGCATGGATCGAGACCAGGCTGCACATCCGCGCAGTCTGATCAGGATCCATGCTGTTCGCTATCAGTTTCTCTACTTGTAATAGGGTTTGTAGCGAACAGCATGGGTCCTGATCAGACTGCGCGGATGCGCAGGCTGGTCTGGATCCATGCTGGTCGCAAACGCACTTTGTTTGTTTTGTCATGACGCGGCTCAATTATGTTATTTCAGACAGAGCAATACAGATCGTACATCGCAAGGAAGTTCTCATCAACATGGACTTGTCCCTCCGGAAAATTAGTAAGCGTTACATCATGGTGCAATGGTCATTATAACTATGACTGCAAAGGTATATTGTGTGGCTAGCAAACGCTTCTTTTATTGAAGAAACAAACAAATCACTTATCCTAAAAAAATATGCCAGCTGATATAACTCTTCCCTGAAAATGTAGACTTGACAGATGTCGATTTATAGTGAACAACTTTTTACTTACTTTGATTGTTTTGAAATTAGTGTATGGCGTGTATTTTTTAATTACCTCTTGGAAATATATTCAATCTTTTGCCTCTGAAGCATCTTGATTTAAGAGGTAGGGTTTACTCTTAAAAATGATACCATATTTGTGAGAATAAGATACTGTTTCGACAAAACATACAAACAAAATTATAACGTAAAAACGCGAAAAAAAAACAAAATTGTAAATGCTGCAAGATTGATTTTATCAACCATGTTCATGAACGGTAGCGGTAAGTGCAAACTTCCGTCAACGCCCCAAAACATAGGCATAAGCAATTGCGTATGCTTCTAAATTCAAAAGTTTACCATTGCAATTATAACTTTTGAATTACCTGATCATTTACTGTCTTTGTGTTAAATAAATAAAAACTGAACTTAGAAATATCCGCAAATGTATTCATACGACGGTGATCATATCCAATGTGACACATTTGTTCCATTCCACAAAAAGAGGCGTATAACTTTATCCCGAAATGAAAGAATGAATTTGCATAAACAACCAGGAAACAATTTAAAACAATTTGCGAATCAAAATCGGATAACACTTTAAAAGTAAAATTAGAACGGAACTGTCTGATAAGGCAAGGTACAGTTATATAACCTTTTACAATCTTGACGTTTCAGACATTTGCCAGTCTTTATCCAGAGATAGATGCGAAAACGGAGGTACCTGCGTTCCACAAGGCACGAAGTTCACGTGTTCATGTCAACCAGGTTTTGAGGGGGAGATATGTCAAGTCAGTAAGTTTAGAAAACCAATATATTCTTTACTATCATTCCAATCCATGATACATACAAACAGACAAATATTCTTCAAAAAGAACTGAAAGGTTTAAACAAAATGACTTGAATAGATCAATGCTCGACAATTTTAACAAAAAAGACACAAAAGGGATGCCCAAACAATCTCTCCGTCTGGAGAGACAGTCTCAGCTTACTTTCATATATCACATACATTCTGTTTTTGAAGATAAAAACGCTAAAACATAACACACAACGTACGGATCTTACGTTATAATAAAGTAAAAACAAAAAATATTCCTTCAAAACTTAAATCCTTTTGTGTATAAACGGCAGACAAATTGCAACGATCTTTAGAAAATTTAAACGATTTGTTATCATACGGCTGAGTAATTTTTTTAAATGAGATGTTCCTTTTAAGAGGCAAAGCGGTTGGTGATTTTATGACAGCAAGATATTAACATGGGATGTTAGCTGAGAGGCAAAGCGTTTAGCGATTTTATCATGACAAGATCTTAACATGGAATGCTCTTTTAAGGACAAAGCGTTTGGTGTTGTTATGATTACCAGATCTTCCTCCTAGAACAATATCTTTCTTTTTATCCTTAGTTTTTTAGAAAACCTCCCCATTACCAGATCTCGTTTAATAAAATTAATGTCTCCTCAAACTGAATCTCCCATAAATGTTCCCCTATATTCTGCATCTCATCGCGAGCCATCAAGGGTTTCAGGCTCCTCTGGACTTCCTACTAAGTTTATGTTTGTAGTTGGTAAGGTGTCACATAATGGATGTGATATAAATGCACAACAAATTGTCCTAAATACCTCTGCAACCATCTTGATTTATTCTTCTGTTCCTTATACCTTTTACTGAGGAAAGCGACTGAGAGCATCCGTAACTGTATTGATTGTACCGGGACACTTTTTAATTTCAAAGTCGAATTTCTAATCCATCGCTTCCGTTCTGTGTTCTTTATATATATACATATATAGTTTAATGACCTTTCCAGATATTGATGAGTGCACGCCAAATCCGTGCAATACAACAACAAGCATAAACTGTCTAGATGGAGCTAATGACTACACGTGTAATTGTAAACCTGGATATACCGGCAAATACTGTGATACAGGTTCAATTCAATTATATATTTTGTATATGTATGTTTTAAGTAACCAAAATAGAGAAAACATTAGAATAAATAACTAAGGTTATATTTAAAATTAAAGCACGAAATTTAATTTATGTGTAAACATATGAAGTAAATCATTACAATATTAATTACGGGGTAATATCATATTGATAAAATAGTAAACTCAGTCTTTTATTTTACATTATAATTATTCATGAATACCTTTAAGACTTTATAAGTGTATATAAAACTCTACCTTCAGGTAGTTACGTAAGGTTACGTCAAGTTTTTGATTTATCTATATTTATTTAGGTCAAACTAATATGAACCATTTACATTGTCCATTTATTTTCAGATATCAATGAATGCCTGAGCAACCCATGTAATACAAAATATACTGTTAAATGTATAGACGGAATAAATGACTATACTTGCATGTGTAAACCTGGATATACGGGCAATAATTGTAATAAAGGTACAATACATTATTACAATAATACACTATCATTTTATTACAGTTTAGTTTAAACATATTTTATTGCATATATATCTATATATATATACATATATACAATTTCACAATTATACACAATTACACATACATTAATTTAAATATACAAAAAGAGTCGGTCCAAAACAACATTATTGATGGCCCTCCTCTTAAAAGTTGACTGTATTGTTATTCAAAAAAAGATGTGAAAAAGACATAAGTAAAGTATTATTTATTACATCTAATTCTAAGAACAGAAATATTAGTTAGAAAAAAATATTTAAGTAAGTTAATACGCCTATCATTCTTCTTATTATTATTATTATTCATGTACACAATAAATTGTGTTTGTATTGCACTATAGTAAACTAGTCAAATCATCAAATCAAATACAGAGAAACAATGCATGCGTGAATGACTTGTTTGTCAAAATAAATAAGTGTGATTTACCCGAGCAGTATCGCAATCTTTTTTAAAACTTATTTTCTCGTTTAGAGCACATGCATTACTATATGCCGATTTTCATGGAATGGCACTAACGTGTCACATTAAAGATTCCATGATAACCGTCATATGAACACATCTGCGGATGTATCAAAATTTATAATATTACCAGTTCATGTTAAATTTTGAATTCTACTTAAGCCGGGGCTAGGGGGTGTGGACGGTAGCTTACAATTACCTCTACCGTCAATGAACATTTTCAAATTTGTCGTGTTGGGCTTTCTTTAGGGGTTCTGTTTGCATCTAAACTGTTGCATTACGTATTAACAACTAATACAACTCGTATGTGTTTAGAAAATATGGCACTTTATTTCTAGTAGTATTCTATCAAAACATAGACAAAGACTTTAATTACTACAAAAATACATAGTTTAAAAACATAAGCGTTGTCATTTTTATATTTCGTTACTTCTTTAAAGAAATTTGTCAGGTTGGTCTCAGGTCATTTATTACTGTAAATATTATATAAGTTACTTTAGTTTTCTTTCATTCACCATTTTTGTGGCCCCTTTCATTAGTGTATAACAAAAAAGGGACATATAAAAATGTAATATTGCAGTGTTTGTTTGTTCTCTGGCTATAGATATCGACGAATGCGAAAGTTCGCCGTGTCAAAATAATGCCACGTGTAATAATAAAGAAAACAGATTTACATGTGATTGTCCTCCAAGATTGTATGGTGTTGTATGTGACACAAGTAAGTATATCATTTCACTCGTTCCAAAATTTGATTAATTCTGATAAATATAGTTTAACATGAAACATTACTAGTATTATTAATATTATAAGTATATCGGATTATAAAAGGAAGGAATTATTTCATAGTTTCGTCGCTTCTCTGTGTTTAGTTAAAGTCCACTTAACCTTTTGTTAAGATGTTCATATAGCATTTCAAGTAAAATGATATTAAATATTCAGCTGTCCATTGCGTTAAGGTTTCAGTAAAATATATTAATTTTTCATATTTTAACTTGAATAAAACACTTTTTATTAAAATTAAGAACTATGGAAAAGGTAGACCCCAAAAAAGCAATAAACAAACATTGTAAGAGACAATTGCAGGCTCAAGTTGATGGATTTTTAAGTAGGAATGAGTAAAATTAATCTATAAATATTGTTTTCTGAAATAATTTGCATCAAGCCACATTCCATATTTTTTTAATTTTTCAGATATCTGTCACCCTACTCCAGCAGACGTCGTCTTTGTTTTAGATTCATCAGTGAGCATGACAGAAGATGAATTCAATAAACAGCTGGAATTTGTTGCTAATTTCAGCAATACTGTCCCCATTGGACCACATGACTTCCAAATTAGTGTCGTAACATTTTCATCTGATGCACATGTAGAGTTTTATCTTAACCAGTATAAAGACAACGTGTCACTCCATGACGCTATAATGAACGTTACGTATAAACGTGGGATAACACGTACTGACAAAGGACTAGAAAAGGTAAGGTGATAATCCTTGATAATTTTCTATAGAGTCATAAAAGTCGCCGCAGCCGCAGCTGGTGTTTGATATTTTGCCCCAATCTTATCTTGCCTTACACTTACGTATTAAAATGTAAATCAAAATTGCAGGAGAGGTAGTTTTACAGTTATGTCAGTTTCATAGGACTGTAAAGGCAATATTGGGCTATAATGAATTACACAAGATGCGATATAATCGTTGGATAAAAGCATTGGACAAATTGAGAGCAATACTTGATGAATTAGAAATCTAAATTCATATATTTTTTTCACTAACTTTGGTTTTAAGAAAGGCAAGTATTTTTAATTCATGTTTATTTCATTTATTGCATATTTCAAAAAGTTTCATGTAATATAAATGTGTTTCCTTCAATAATTTCATTGTTATATTTATAGGTAATGACCGAAGTATTCAGTCCAAACCATGGCATCGAAAGACGAATAAATGGTACACAAGCTTCTAAGTTTGTTTACGTCTTGACTGACGGCATGTCTACATACAGAATGAAAACCAAGGAAAAAGCAAATGATTTGAGGTCTATTGTGGATACAATTGCCGCCATAGGTAAGTAGTTTCGCCCACCCCAACCCCTCATTTCCCGTTGCACACTTTGTCTCTATAACTCCGGTATTGGACCCTTTAGTTCTTATCTTTTAACTTATTTTATATCCCCCATCCTTTCACCGCCTTGTGTCTTATCCCAGGTATTGGTTCGGTGCCTTCTGGGTGTCCTACTGGTGTGATTGGATTGTGTTGGGGGGCTACGTTCTGTGAATGTTGCTTTACCTTGTTAATCTTTGTTCTCGTTTTTTTTTAAATTAGGAATAAACTACTATTAGCAATCACCCAAGATCGATATCATACTGGAATGCTCTTAAAAATATTCAAGTAGATCTACACTTAATAATTTCATTTATTCCTCACAGAATTAAACTGTTTGTAACAGTAATGATGTAAATTGAACTGTAACGGTATACAATGCAAACGTTATAAATTTCAGGAATAGGAAAAGGAGTTTCTCACCAAGAACTGATAGATATAGCCTCGGACCCATCCTTTGTTTACTCCGTGCAGAACTTTAATTCTTTGTACACCGTTCTCAAACGTCTGGTTCATTTTGATTGCGATGGTAATGAATATTTTTACTAACTTATGTTCAGCAAAGTTTAATTTGGAAAGTTTATTTTACTTCTTTATCATTTTAACAAATGTTTAAAATACATCAACAAAGTAAACATATCAAATATTGAATATATCGAAATAAATTTATGACAATGGAAAAACACGTATTCCTTTTAGATATCTATCTAATACGTAAAGATTAAAAAAGTTTCAAGATTCGGTTTGGTGTTCATGGGCGATAGAGGTAAGTGCAAGTTATCGTACACACACCCCAGCACCGACATAAGCAGAATTCGGCATTTAATAAAATAGCATTGATTAAATGTCTAATATTTTTCAGAATGTGAGACAAGTGCGGCATCGGACGTTGCCATTTTCTTGGATTCGTCGTATTCTGTACCAGCCGAACAATATAGCTTAAGTATCGACGCTATTATACATATGATTGACGTCATGGAGCATTTAAGCGTTAATAATACACGTGTTAGTGTGACGTCATTTTCCGATGATATAAGAAGCGCTATTGGTATGGGAGAGACCTTTAACAAAAATGTCATTAAAAGAACGCTCAATATGATCGCACAATCAAATGTCAAGGCACAAGTACACTTAGAAACCGTTTATGCTTATGTCAGGGATAACATTTTCAATAAAACAATTTCTAGGCAGGGGGCAAAGAAATTTTTCCTGATTTTCACGAATGGTAAAGCGGATATAAATGACGAAAGTGCACTTGAAAGAGATAAAGCAATGTTAGAGGCTAACGATGTAAATATTGTTGCCATTGGTAGTGGAGGAGATGTTAGTTTGGAAGGTTTACTTAAGCTGGTGACAGACCCGTTTAATGTTTTTATTACTAACAAAGATTTGCCAATGAGCAATCTGGATGTTTTGCAATCTTATTTCGTTTATAACAAGTGCGACTTGAAAGGTGAATAAAATATGTCACTGAAGAAATTGTAGCCTATGATTTTACACGCATATCAAAGGAGTGATGTGTTAATTTTTGTATGACCTTTTTTGGAAACAACTCCCATGAGTATTTCAATTTCAGTGCCTTGATTGCTTGCTCTTCCTCTCATTTATCAAATAAATGTATTCAATGTGAACATATTTACTCATTTTTTTCCCCAGGAAATATAGAATGTTTATCAAAGAATGGATAGCAGAAATTAATAATGACACGAGAATGTTGAATTTGTTACAGAAAGTGAGCCAACAAAAGCATTTGTTTAAAACATGTGTTATAGTTCATTGTAATTGACCTGACAGAAATTTTAAATGACTGAAATGCAACATTTCACCGCCTTTTATCGCATGATCTTATTGTGGCCTCCCTGGTAGAGTTATTCAAATTGTCGACTTCAAATCACTTGCCTCATACCGTTGTGGATTTGATGCCTGTCAAGCACTTTTGATCCATTCATGTGACAAAGCTGTCCAGCCAGCTTATACGATACTCATGGTGCCCGCTCGTGCCTAAAATAATGCACGGAAGGGTAACTTAGCTCTTCCATCGCCAGTAAAGAAGGAAAGTCGCTGTATGACCTTTATGTCTCTGTGTTATTCAAAATCCAACAAAGAAAACAAACGGGATGTTCGTAAATAATAGCCACACAAAGACCTGTCTCTCTTAAAGTACATTTTAACAAATACGATTGGTTAACTATAATAAGACCTGCAGTTTAAGCAATAATCAGATATACAGAATTAAAATATTGTGACTGACTATAAAGTTTATTGCCTGAACCTACATTAAAATAAAATTCCATTCGTCTTAATGCCATTCATTCCATAAATATATTACATGTATATATCAATGTTTGACAGTATTTGAAACATGGGCTAAAGTCATTGAAAACAGCCCTCAATAAAAGCCTTGATTTAACCACTCGCCCTCGGAAGCCCTACAACAGTTGTTCTGGTCCTAACTGCCGTTAGAAATTAGAAAATCGTGAAAACTGCAAATTTTACTTCTATTCATATGCAATAACTGTAAACAAATATGTTAATGTTTAAGACCCGTTTTGTGTGGGAGAGTAGTTTTAAAAGCAGTTTGAAATAATTTGTAGGAAACATGGTAAAACACACCTTAAATATCTGAGAAACTTAATCAGAAAGTGAAAGAACTTAAGAGTCCGTTAAACATAAGAATAGTAACTTGTTACGCAATCGAGCAAAAAAAATTATGTTAAATTTTTTTATAAAACTCCTTTATATTATTTAACTTACTTTAGAATGGCAAATTAGATTTCCAAACTTCATTATAATGGTATTCTAAAATGACCTATTAAATTTCTACATATATTCAGTTATTACCTGTAAACTTTACAGGAAGGCAAGCTGATTTAAGAGGGCCTGTGACCGAAAAATGTGACTTTTACTTACCAAAAAACCATATAGAAAGGATACCAAAAGTTTTTTCAATACCAGTGGAGCCGTCGTCCAAGTTACTGTTTCTAGAGGCCGTTCTTTTTCGATATTCCATGTGCTTCACCAGAATAGTTCGTTTATAGCAAAAATAGTGAAATTATCTTTTAAAAGAGATCGTCTACATTACCATTAATACGCGTGGGTAGCGATTTCAGTTAATGACAGGGACAGAGACGAAAACATACATCATTTGTAATGAAGTCAAAGCTTTTATTGACACAATAAGCAAAAAGGAAAAATTGCGTACAATAATTTGAGATAGAATGAAGGAAGCGTAAAATAAGTGTTATCAGAGACACGTTCTGATATTTTGATTTAGATTAGTACAAACAAGATCTATAAGCAGCTCAAATAAACAGGTCAGAGATAAAAAAAAATGTTTGAAATTGAAAAGATTATTTATCGGATTTGCAACGATCAATAACATCTTATCAAGATGTCAAGTGGTTTGATTCATAAAATACCCTTTATATTTTTGTATCGTCAAATATTTCGGACAATTTATTAATCGGTATATTTTTCTAATCGTCTCTGTGCATGAATCAATAAAATGTTCAGGATTATTGTGATACAAATATGTGTGTTGTATGTTTATGGACAAAGCAGTAAGTATGTTAATATTTATTCGATTTGGATGATTTTACAAATTCATTTTGTAACTCCTGATTTTTGTCCTCTGTTCTGTTTTCGTACACACGAGTTTCATGTAACTAATAAATCCGTGCTTCGTGTGCTTGAGGAAAAGAAAAGGTCTCTTAGAACCAACAGTTTTTTAGAATTCAACCTATTTTATCTAGTTTAAGAAAATATATTGTTGTAGTCTTCTAATACGTATATTAAAGTCATTTATCATCAATGTAAACACTTAAAAAAATTATCGAACAAAGACAAACGAAGACAAGCGAGAGTGTTTGTCATGATTGAACTAAATTTCAAATTTAAAAACTTTTAGCAGTAATGATGCTTTGAAATTATACACATAGTAATCAAAGTAAGAGATTTTTATCATTCTTTGATCTTTTGGTCACGAATGATACATAAAATACTAATCATGCCGAGCCTCTTTATCGTTAAAAGCGATGGCGTATGAGTTCCGTATAAAATAATGTGTTGTAACATGGAATGGCAAACGCAAAATACCTCGAGCATTGATTCATCATTGTATGTTTCAGCACCATAAGACCCTCAACCCTTCACTGAACAAGATCGATAATAGTTTATACTGAATCTCTCCAAGTATGACGCAAACTGCCATTTTGATCGTCTGGTAAAAGGTCCAACGCCCAGCGAATCGTTGCCACGTAGCACAGTACGCGAACACCAAAGCATCAAAGTGAAGAGTTAATACACTTTATCTTTATTAGATTTTTAGATACCTTTAAACTAAATCTATATCAATAGATAACATAATATCATAATCATCGTCAATAAAGGCTTTCCCGTTTAGGTTATTGTAAACGACAAGAATAAGGCCCCATCAATATAACTAAGTGTATCAAAAGCATAACCGACAGGTAGTTAATGTATTGAGATGCCCCAGCATTAATGCTTAGCCTGATGTTATTGTTGATTATATGTTGCGTTAAATTGGCAAACATGTACTTGAAAGATTCATCTTTATTCCGTCTATTGCTCATATTTAGCTATTTTGTAAGACAAAACTGCTGTATCCGAATGTTGTACACTTAGTGAGAAGATTGCTTTATTAGGCTTTTTGGGCCTTATAAACAGACTGTTATCTAATGATTTAAGATATCATTTTGTGCTAACATGTTTAAATTATTTCAAAATGGAAATGATTGTCTATCAGGCTTATATATCCGGTAATTAATGTTATTTTCGCTAATTTAATTTACTTCCGGGTTTTGTTAAGCGGTGTTAGGGTAACTTTCTCCCTAGCAACTGTAGAATGTTAAAATATCAGTGTTTTTGACGATTTTCTGGCAATATGAGTTTGAAGAGGAGTTATAATGTAAGAATCCATTTGTTTTTGATATATTCTTGTCATATAGATTAAGTTTTATTACTTTTTGGTAATATTTATTGCATAAATATGAAATTTGACATCGATTTCTGGTTGCCAGTGGCGAGTGCACAAAGTTTTTTTTTGTGCACTTGTCATCCAATGGCGTTCATGTATTGTACACGTAATATTTTGCGTGCTGTGCACATTTTGTGTACAAGCACTTATTTTTTGTGCACACACAAACTATTTTTGTGCACAGTCCTTGGGTATATAAACGGATTGTTCCCGTCATTCGGGGTCTCCACAACTTAGAAACATCTAGGGTAAATCTTTGTCAGATTCCATTCTCAAGCAACAATTTGAACAATCTTTGATAATTGTAAGGTTAACATAATAATACAATTTTTTGAGTGAATAGCATTCTTTCATATTACGGTATAAATAAATTAAGTATATCCTTGAGGCACTCTTAAGTAAACTATATCTGTTATATTCTTGAATTTCATAAGTCTAGCAAGATACAAGATTTTTGTTAAATTATCATTTGAGATATAATATCCCTACTCCCATTTAGTCGACAGATCTTAGTGAATTTTTGCGTAGCTTTTTCGGGATTTTCTTCGTGCAATATAGTATACAAGAGGTATTAATTTTTATATTTACATTTCTTGACTTGTATTTGCATTCATTACAATAGATATATTTTCCCTTATAACATTGAATAAAGAGAAAGTACTGCCATATATGAGTCTTTTTCCTTTGCATTATAAATAACCCCCTTTTGCTTATATATGACTTTCCCATAATTCCCTGTGGAGACCAAATTCTTCAATATCACCTCATCAGAAAAGATCAGCTTGTATAACCTATGGTGCTTAGTTACACTGGTTCAGAGACTCCAACTTTACGACATTGTGCAAAACAATAGAAACACAGTGTTGCGAGGTCGGTGCTTCTTATACGCTACCCATAGATTGACATCACCGGCGCGCAACATAATTTTTGGTGGCAGCGGTGGGATCCTTTTGACTGTGTAGAGGATCCAGAGATTCGAACTCAAGCTTCAAGCTATTATCAAGTACATAAATAGATAGAGATATGGATTGTCATACACCTGCCGGCAGTGATGCTGAAGTATTCCTTAGGCGCTCTGAGAGTCAGGGGTCAATATCTAGGACCAGCAGTATTCAAAGCTTGCCTGCAAGCAATATACCATCTGATGTTGATGTCAGTCAAGATTATATACAACAACAGCAAGTAAATAGAGCAGTCAACACATCTAATGATCAAAGTAATGACAATAGGGTCTGCTCAAGAGACTTAAGCGATATATCCGGCATTTTGAAAGAAGTAGTCCAAGAACTTAGAGTCTTAAAACAGACAATTCCACAAGGTTATAATCAGGCAAATCATTTTTCATCAAATAGGCCTTCTGAAAACCAGAACTTCAATAATTTTGGTGAACATGCTCAATACATAAATAGAAATTTTCAGTCTTATCAAGATGATGACATGACACCAAGGGTAGGGTAGAACCGTTATTCAGATGTGGCGCAGTTAAATGAAAATGCATATACAAATGACACTTATGATGATAGAATAAACAACCGCATAAAACTACAGGGAAAATGATAATCAGTTTGATCATAGATATCACCGAGTGAATAATAGTGGTGGTTATGGTACCCGATACAAGGGATCTGATAACATCAAAATTCCGATATTCACTGGTAGAGAAGACTGGCAGGTTTGGATTGCTAGGTTTGAGACCATTGCCGATAGGTACCACTGGAATGATGAGGACAGGCTAGATCAACTCCTGCCTCGCATTGAGGGTCAAGCCGCACAGTTTCTTTTTGGACAATTGCCTAAAGCAGTGTTAAAGAATTTTCGCGAAGTAGTTAAGGAAATGCATTATAGATTTCGCGTTGTTGAGACAAGCCGCGCATATGCTGCAAAATTTAGTCGTCGCAATCAAAAGCCTGGGGAAACAGCAGAAGATTATGCTGCAGACTTAAAGATGTTATATGACAAAGCACACGGCTTTCGTGATAGACAAACAAGAGAAGAAGATTTGGTCAGGAAGTTTTTTAGATGGTTTAAGGGATGATGAAATAAGATTTGAAATAGAATTCCATAAAGAACCTGAAACAATTGATGAGGCAGTCTACCATGTAGTTAATTTCATACAGACACGAAACAGCGGTACAATAGATAAGAGGTATAAGGCCACAAGAAGAGCTTTTCAGTCACAGGAGACAACCGAGACAGATAAACGTACAGACTCAACATTGAGTAATGATTCAAATAGGGTAACAAAACAAGATGAGGTGTTAGGTAAAATTCTTGAGAGGCTTGAGAAACTTGAGGAAGTAAATAAGAAGGATCAAGCCAAAAATCTTCCAAATCAAAACAAGAGACATGTAGAATGTTTTAATTGTCATAAGATAGGTCACTATGCTAGAGATTGTCCAGATAAGGATATATCTAGGAGAAACTGGAGGGATAGAAAGAATGATAGGGAAACAAGGGTGAACAGTAATTTAAACTTCCAGGGACCTGCCCCAGTGGCCAGGAGGGGGTCCAACTAGAGAGTAAGGGCCACAGAAAAAATCAGCAGAGTGAAAGATAGAGCCAAAAGAAAGTAAGGGGCTCAGTGATGGGTTTATGTTAAGGGAAGCGTACAAGGAGTAGACGTAATATTCACTGCTGATACAGGAGCATCTAAGTCTATACTGTCGGACAGGGTTTATAGTAACTTAGATTCGAGTAAGAGACCTAAGTTAACAGAATGCAGCAATCTTTGTGGCGCTAATGGTGCACCTATAAGGGAGTTAGGTCAAGGTGAATTCAGCATTACCATGGGGTCCTATGAAATGACAAAAGAAATGGTAGTTGCTGATATCGAAGATGATGCCTTGATAGGGTATGATATATTAAAGGGAGATGTACATGGGCCAGCTGATTTGCTGTTGAGCAAAGGAGTAATAGAATTGAATGGTGTAGATATTCCTTGTTTCCAGGTAGGAAAAAGGAAAAGGTCAAGAAGAGTTACAGTTGCAGATGATGTTTGTGTACCAGGGAGGTCTGAGATGTTGGTAGATGTATTTGTAGAAAGAGAGGAGCCTCATGATTATGATCTTCATCCAGAGTACATAGTTGAACCAAGTGAAGCTTTTATGCAGAAATATCAGTTAGTGATGGCTTCATCATTAGTTAATATTAAGAGAAGTCCCACATGTAAAGTAAGGGTATTGAATCCTATGCCAGCAGATGTGACACTGTATCAGAATGCACACATTGGAGAAGCACAGCAAATAGAGGGTATAGTAAGTGTTTTGACTGAGAAGGAGGATGAAGGAGAATGTGAAAATTTCCATATGGTTAGACGGTTAAACATCATAAAGAAAGTTAGTAAAAGTAGTTCTGATGTATTGAACTTTAGTACTTATGAAGTACCGGATCATTTGAAAAACTTATTTGAGAAATCCACAGCTAATAAAAGTGACTCAGAGAAAAATGCTGTAGCAGGACTTCTAAACAAATACAGTGAAACCTTCTCAAAAGATGAATGGGACATCGGCTTGACAGATCTAGCAGAACACTCAATTGACACTGGAGATGCAGCTCCTATTAAGCAAAGACCAAGGCGAGTCCCACTTGCATATGCAGCTGAGGAAAAAAGCAGCCATTGATGATCTGTTAAAGAAGGGCGTTATCCAAAAAAGTACGTCCCCATGGCCAGTCCTATTGTTTTCGTTAGGAAGAAAATCTGGGCCATAAGACCATGTGTTGACTATAGGAAGATCAATGCACTAGTGAAGCCCAGATGGTTTCCCACTTCGAGGGTCCAGATTGCCTTGAAGTTGCAGGAATGAGTAGCAGCTCATTTGACAAGTGATACTTCCAAATTCCTCTAAAAAAAGAAGATATGCCAAAAAGTGCATTCACTGTAAGTATGGTCAATTTGAGATGCTTAGAATGCCCTTCGTCTTAGCAACAGCAGCAGCACCTTCCAAAGAATGATGGAATTAGCACTACAGGGTTGCAAAAAAAAAAGTGGCAGACACAAACAATTAGTTTATATTGATGATATAGTAGTCTTTGGTGGCAAATTTAGAAGAACATATTCAAAGAGTAGATGAGGTACTTAGCCGAATAAAAAATGCCGGTCTCAAGTTAAAGCCTGATAAGTGCCATATGCCTCCAAACAGAGGTAGTGTTCTTGGCATATAGTGTTCTAAGGATGGGGTTAGACCAGATCCTACCAATATTTCAAAGATAGCTGAGTGGCCAAGACCAATGTCCTCTAAAGAAGCCAAAACAATTTGTTGCCACGGGATCTTATTACAGACGCTTTATAAAGGATTTTCGCAAAATTAGCAAGGCCTCTAATAGATCTCACCAAGAAGATGTAAGCTTCGTGTGTACCATTGAATTTGAGAAAGCGTTTCAAGACTTGAAAGTTAAACTGACCGATACAGAAGTAATGGTTAATCCCCTTAATGAGGGTGAGGGAATTTTTCCTAGATGTAGACGCGTCAGGTACTGGGATTAGGAAGTGTTTTATCACAAATCAAAACAACCGTGAGAGAGTTATAGCATATGCGAGCCGACCCTTAACAAAGCAGAACGTAATTACTGTGTGACAGAGCGTGAGGCTCCTTGCAATAGTCTATTTTGTCCAATACTTTAGACAGTACCTACTTGGCCGCAAAGTTTACTGTAAGAAGTGACCATCAAGCTTGTTTGGTTTGCTTTCAGTCTCAAAGAGCCCAATGGTAAAATAGCCAGGTGGATTGAAATACTTGCAGCCTTTAATTTTTCCATTCAGTATCGTCCTGGTAAATTACAACCCCCACTTGACCCTTATCTTGCATGTGACAAACCCTGCGAGACTGTGACTGTACATAGTAGACATGAGCGAAACCTCTTAAATGTGGGCCATGTAATAAATGTAGACGTCGTGCAGAAATTATGGTTTTAGAATGGAAAGCAAACCAATTATCACAGCAAATAACACCTGATCAACAAAGTGAAAATGAAAATACAGGTAAATCTGAAAGCTTTGAAGAACAGGGAAGACAATGGCAGATAAGAGAGGTTAATATAGAAATACCTGCAGCAAGTACAAGTAATGATAACTCAAATTGGAGGGCATATGGGATAGGGAATACAATTGATCAAATACAAGCTAAACAACTTGAAGAAATGATATAAAACCAGTTTAGAGGCTAAAATATCTGCAGAAAACAGCTAAGAGGAACAGAAACTTGAGCTCACCTCACCGGCATTAATCTGTTATTATGGATCAGCTGAAAGTTGGTTGATGGTGGTGCTTAACAAAAGAGTTCACTAAAAAAGACGGGTCATTGAAGTTTTGCTCAAATAATAATACCCAATGTGAGAAGAAAGGTGTACTGCAACAATGCATGCAGGATCCTTTAACAGGGCATATGGGTACAAAGAAAACCAAAGCTGTCGTCTTACAAAGGTTCAAACTGTTTAATTAAAGAAAGAACATTAAGCTATTATCAGACAGTGTGATATTTGCGCCAGAGATAAGAAAACGCCCCCAAGCCCCCAAAAGCCCCAATGGAAGTGCTAAGAACAGGTGCCCCATGGGATATCTTAGCAACGATTATTTAGGTCTTTCCCCATTACTCCACGTGGCAACCGATACATCCTTGTACTCACTGATCTTTTTTCTAAATATGTTGAGTAATTCCTGCCCCTGATCAGACAGCCGAAACATGTGCTTATTTAATTGTAAATGAGTTTGTCTCTAGATGGGATGGTCCTGTATCCATAATTAGTGACAGGGCGGAAAACATACGGAAGCAAAGTTTTTCAAAAATGTGCAAGTTACTAGAACATTAAGAAGGTGAGGACAAGTGTTCGAAACCCCAAGATGCAATGGATCAAATAGAAAAATTAACCACACGTTGGCACGCATGACCGAGCATACCTTAAGGGTGCACAAGAAGATTGGGATTTGAACCTGGGATGTCTGGCAGGAGCGTACCGGTGCAACCCCAATGAAGCAAACAAAACTGACGCCAAATATGATGACAATGGGAAAGAGAAGTACGACTCCCAGCAGAGCTTGTTTTTGGCTGTACCACCAAGGAGTCTGATGTTCAGGTATCAGAAAATATGGGGACTACGTAGAGAAGATCAGAGCAAACATTAACCATGCACATGATGTGGCCAGGAATCACTTAAGAAAAAGCAGCTGCGCGAAGCCAAGAACATATATGACAGACGAATGATAATGAATGTTTACGAGTAAGGGCGATGTTAGTGTGGTGTTTAGCGGAATGCAGGAAAATTGGTGGGCTCCAAGTTGCAACCAGCCTATGAAGGTCCTTGCTTGGTGCTGAAAGAAGTTGTCTCCTTTAACCTTTGTTATTCAGATAAAGGACCAGGGTCAGAGCGTGTGGTGCATCACATTAAACTAAAAGCCATATGTTGATGCAATGTTCCTAGATGGATAAGAAGTTAAAGAAGAAACTACTCAACTAAAGCAGTAGTTGTCAACATTTTGTCAACATAAACAACATAATTTTTCGTTGTGTTACCATATTTTGTTTTTTTTTGTGTAAAAATAATATTAATAATAAAATAGCATCAGCTGTATCAGCCATATTGTTTCGCTCTCTGCTGTCTATTTTTTTCGAATATTTGCAACGTCATTTTGCCGTCGGAGCGTCAACATATTTTCGCCGTCAAGTATCAACGTCACATCGCTGTCCAGAGGTAATAATTATCTAGCGCGTTAAGATCTGTCGATTCCCACCCCACCACCCTTCTCTCACGATAGAAGCTTAATCTATTTCGCAAAATATGAAGAATAATGTCATCATGATTTTTTATCAGTTTATTAAAAATCTGTTTTTGTATCTTCTCAGAACGCAATGGCTGAACCACGACGAGGCAAGATGTATTCATGTGTTCATTGTGAAGCGGCTGGAAAGAAATACGTCGAAGCTCGCTACAGAGTGACTGCTCACATTACAGCACCATTTGCACTTGACAAAGCCACCATTTTACTGTACTTTGTGTTTATTGAGGTGCTCTACTAGTCTGCCTTAATCAACCACGTATCTAAGTATATAGCAGGCATCGTTTGGCAGCTGCTGAGCATTGCACAGGATGACAGGACAGGAGGTATCTTGTGCAAATCCACGCCAGCACTAGTTGAACTAGGTAAGGATCTAAGAGGAATTATCATCCTAGAGGCTTCTCTACAAAACAGCAAAGAAAACACAGGTAGCTCTTTAGGATGGAAGATGAACCAAGTTCTTTAGCTCACCATCAATCGTCCGCCAACACCTTAATTCACCTCCTACAAACTGCCAAGCACCTGTAACCAACAATCTGAAGTGTTCATCAATATTCAGTTACTCAGAAATGCTTGAAAATTTCTTCGAGTTCAACAAACACAGTTAATATTACATCAAAAATACTATATAATTTACCATCAATATGACAACAGGGGAAAGTATGCATCTGCCGCTCCATACACATCCTGAATTTGCCGACTCTGCCACATCCGACTATACAGTGACCACGAAGTGAGAGCAGGTTGTCTTACAAAATACGAATATGAGCAATAGACGATAAAGAGAAATCTTTCAAGTACGATGTTTTGCCAATTTACGCAACATATATCAACAATAACATCAGGCTAAGCATAATGCTGTGGGCATTATCACCCCCTTCTTTTCTACTGTAAAAGCTTCCGATGACAATAATAATAAGATGACTAGACTTTAATAGTTAAATAACAGATATATACAAGCAATTCTACTATATATTTAATACCATAAGATACCATGACACAACCAATCTATATACATTCCTACTCACCTATATGTTATTACGGATCTAATCAAAACTTTACGTAATAATACACATAAAATGGACTGTTACATCTCTCTATAATGGCACATTTATAGCTACACGCTTATAGAATCTTCAACTAAACAATACATAGATGCAACTTCTATCTCTAACTTAACTCGAACACACATATAAATAAAACAAATCTACTTAACTGAAAGAACTCTATCTCCTAGTTCACATACAGGAATTCAGATTAACACTGTATACGAATATACAAGCAAATTGAGGACAATTTTATATTCAATTATACTCAGTGTCGATAACTGTAGAAACTATGTGAGAGTATGAAACATTTAAAGTAGAAAAATGAAACGGTTAACATCACAATGACATGTATTTACCATTATGCGTAAACCATCTCCTACAACTCATACAATGAATATCATTCTGAGAAATGCTAACTGTGAATGTCCTACTAATTGTAATGATTACCTCTCTACATATAGCAGATAAGAAAGTTCTGCTACGCGAAGTTGACTAGGACGCAAATCGACGAATCGGCCAACTAAAAAACGACCTTAGAATTGATGATACAGTAAACAATGAAGAAAGCAGGACTTTAAACTAGCAAGTCTTAAAGTGTAATTGAAATGGGGTGAAGCATATAATCTGAATGCATTATTTGAGGAAAAAATCTCAGAGCTTGTGAAAACTTGTTATCTTGTAGTTGACAAAATTCAGTTAGGATAAGGCTTTGAAATGCGCATAGTTATAGTTCACAAAAATGAATCGAAATAATAGAAAGAATATCGGCGAGATAGAAGAATTTTAGAACAGCATTTAAAGAGATAGGGAAGAGAGGATTAAGCATGCAAATAATCGTTAGAATCAGTTAGAAGACGTAGCATGATCGAATAACAGATAGGATAAATCAAGAAAGAAGAAGAAGTGAGTTGACGAGTGATCATCATTAGAGATAGATATTCGTAATAATAAAATAGGCAAAGAAAATGTACATATTATACATATTCTATACTGAAATAAACCCTGTTGATAATGACAATAAATAGTTGAGATTAAAAAGTACTCGATACTTTAACTGTCAGTTTCTCCAACCTAAGTTTATTGTGTAGTACATTACAGCTTTAATTGATTCACTGTATAAAGAATTATAAATTGTTATTTCCTTTCCTCTTTTCTTGCGCTAAACCTCCTCCTAAAGTCTTCTCTACTGTCGGTCTCTTTAATATATAATGAGCTTGATTATAGGTAAGATAGATTACTATAGATATTGTGTTATTTAAAATAGGAATAGAGTGTGTGTGTAAAGATGTAGTGTGTGACATTTTAAATTTTAACTCAAAGAAATTGTCTTAACTCTTTTGGTAATTATTATTATGCTTTACTAAGTGTTTAATTAAAGATGAACATTAGTTTTAAAGATTAAATTAATGCAATTTGAGCATTAAGTTTTCTGCATATGTGCAATAGACTCAAAGAATTTTTGTAATTTAGGAGTATTTTCATTACTCATGGGTGCTTCAGATGTACTTTGTAGGATTTGACAGAATTCGGTTGTGAAAGGTAAATGCATTGTTTAACGTTAGCATTTTTTAACTTTAAATGTTTAACTCACAATGTTTGTAAGGGTTCGAATTGTTACATGACAAAAATGTTCAATTGTTAAGTGTTATTAACTTGATTTTCCTTTATCATGAATGATTTTATATTTTTTTACTTTTTGCTTTTAAAGATGAACTGCTGAAGATGTAAGTCACTTTTCTTAAAGGTGAACAGTCAAGTTTTTTAAGTTAAAGATGAACAGTCAAATATTTAAAGTAATGTGTAAGGCAAAAATATTGAATGTTGATAGCAGTTATTTATTATTAATAGTATAGTAATTGCTTGTCATATATCTTGTTATTTAACTATTAAGTCTAGTCCATTATTTATTATTTATTGTCATTCGGAGCTTTGACATAGAAAGAAGGGGGTGATGAGATGCCCCCAGCATTAAATGCTTAGCCTGATTTATTGTTGATTATATGTTGCGTTAATTGGAAACATGTAACTTGAAAGATTCATCTTTATTCCGTCTATTGCTCATATTAGCTATTTTGTAAGACAAAACTGCTGTATCCGAATGTTGTACACTTAGTGAGAAGATTTGCTTTATTAGGCTTTTTGGGCCTATAAACAGACTGTTATCTAATGAATTTAAGATATCATTTTGTGCTAACATGTTTAAATTATTTCAAAATGGAAATGATTGTCTATCAGGCTTATATATCGGATAATTAATGTTATTTTCGCTAATTTAATTTACTTTCGGTTTTGTTAAGCGGTGTTAGGGTAACTTTCTCCCTGCAACTGTAGAATGTTTAAAATATCAGTGTTTTTTGACGATTTTCTGGCAATATGAGTTTGAAGAGGAGTTATAATGTAAGAATCCATTTGTTTTTGATAATATTCTGTCATATAGATTAAGTTTTATTACTTTTGGTAAATATTTATTGCATAAATATGAAATTTGACATCGATTTCTGGTTGCCAGTGGCGAGTGCAAAAGTTTTTTTTTGTGCACTTGTCATCCAATGGCGTTCATGTATTGTACACGTAATATTTTGCGTGCTGTGCACATTTTGTTTACAAGCACTTATTTTTTGTGCACACACAAACTATTTTTTTGTGCACAGTCCTTGGGTATATAAACGGATTGTTCCGTCATTCGGGGTCTCCCACAATTAGAAACATCTAGGGTAAATCTTTGTCAGATTCCATTCTCAAGCAACAATTTGAACAATCTTTGATAATTGTAAGGTTAAACATAATAATACAATTTTTGGGTGAATAGCATTCTTTATATTACAGTATAAATAAATTAAATATATCCTTGAAGGCATTTCTTAAGTAAACTATCTGTTATATTCTTGATTTTCATAAGTCTAGCAAGATACAAGATTTTTGTTAAATTATCATTTGAGATATAATATCCCTACTCCATTTAGTCGACAGATCTTAGTGAATTTTGCGTAGCTTTTCGGCATTTTCTTGAAATCGTGCAATATAGTATACAAGAGGTATTAATTTTTATATTTACATTTCTTGACTTGTATTTTGCATTCATTACAATAGATATATTTTCCCTTATAACATTGAATAAAGAGAAAGTACTGCCATATATGAGTCTTTTTCCTTTGCATTATAAATAACCCCCTTTGCTTATATATGACTTTCCCATAATTCCGTGGAGACCAAACTCTTCAATATCACCTCATCAGAAAAGATCAGCTTGTATAACCTGTGGCGCTTAGTTACACTGGTTCAGAGACTCCAACTTTACGACATTGTGCGAAACAATAGAAACACAGTGTTGCGAGGTCGGTGCTTCTTATACGCTACCCATAGATTGACATCACCGGCGCGCAACAGTATTGTTATGAAATGATTCAGATGTCTTTTTATTTTTGCTTTTGACAATGCGTTGATAGGAAATGCTACAAATGTCTTTATTTTTGCTTTTGACAAAGCATTGTTACGAAATGCTACAAATGTCTGCTTTGCATTTGACAATGCATTAATAGGAAATGCTACAGATGCTTTCTTTGTGAGATGCACATGTTCAGGAAAAATGCAACATAATGCAATTTAGGAAATATTCGATTTTAAGCACCAGCGATATAAAAAATATATAAAATGGACATGTTCTGCTTTAATTAAGTGTAAAGATATCCGTTTCGAAGTATTGACAATCGAAAAGAGAATAGATCCTGACCACAATTGGTTGTACTGACTTTGCTGTATACTGGCTTCCAAGGCAAGCCATTTAGTCATTTAAAGCGTTAAATGTGATTTCAGACTGAACAATACAGATCATATATTGCAAAAAAGTTCGAAAGAAAATGGAGCTGTCGCTCTGGTACATTAGTAAGCGTAACATCATGGTGCAAAGGACATTACAACTATACGTGCAAAGGTAATTGTTTTATTCTTCCATTTGAAGCTTAAGTTTTTAATGATGAAAGCAACGTTTTTAACACGACGTATGTACTCGTATTTACGCAAGCTTTATTTTATCATTTAAAGGGTAGAAGTCTTATATATCTTTGAATAATATATGCTTATCTGCAATTGAATAAGCTACATTCATAGATTATCACCCACATATCATACGTATGATATGATTTGTTCATTCAAAATGAACCATTTATCATGTGTAAATGTTGAGTTTTCCTTGAAACGGAACACTAGTTTGCACTAACCACTTCCATCCATGAACAGCTTCAATCAAAGCAAGCCTGTAATATTTTCGCTTTTGCCAAATTAGGCATTCTTAAAAGATTCAAATTATCTCTGGTTTGTTGTTTGTAGCCTATTTATGTCACATAAGTGTATTTATATTTAAAAGTAATAAATATAATATAATATTAAATGGATACTGTACATACCGGTTTGTTACCTGACTTCATTTTACAAACCAGCAATTTAATCCCGATATGTATGATATGTAATGCAACAGATTTTTTATATAAAGATTCTATATATAAAAGAATTATTTCATATGGCCGCCATTTTGAGTGGAATGCATTCTCACCTACTTACTATTTTTGGGACAATCTTTATAACGACGATGTGTGTTTTTGTGCAAAATATATTCTCAATATAATCCACTTGATAATCCGATTAAATTCTTTTTATAGTAATGATCTCCTAACTCGCGCATATATTTTTCTTTCATTATGAAAACAAAGAATTTGACTTTTAATTATTTTTTTATCTTGTTTGTGATTAAACACTATATTTGTCGTTTTTGTCCGTAATTGGTCTACACAATAAAATTTGCTTTTATCAAATTTTAAGAAGCTTTAAGAATCAATACTCATTTTATTTTTGTTTTTTTAAACGATATTTGTCAAGCCGTTACCGGAACCCGGTGAAAAGGAGGACATGCGTTCCAAAAGGGTACGAAATTCACATGTTCATGTCAGCCGGGCTTTGAAGGAGAAATTTGTAATCGTAAGTAAGATAAAAAAAAGCTGATCCATTCAGATCAAAAACAAATACATATCAATTAGCAAACTTAGAAAAAAAAGGGTCTAAATTATTTGGTTATGAACTGGTTATTCATACAAGGATTGTCCCTCACAATCCCTTCATGCAAACATTCTATTTACAGCAAAATCACGCACATTCTGCTTATGGACCTCGTAATTTATGCTAAAAAGAAGGAAATACGTTTGGTAGGACGTTTGCGTCATTTGAGGCGAAATATTTGGTATTGTTGAAACTTTAAATTTGTTATCAAAAGCGAATGTATGCGATGCTTACTCCGTTTAAAGGGGCAAGATTGATTTAATTCATTAACTCAACCATGAACAGTGTCAGTGGAAAGATGAGAACAAATATGAACAGGGCAAGGCGATGTTCACAGAACGCAGCCCCTATACAAGTAGATGACTTCAACATTTCCACATAATATGCTGCTTTGTAAGACATTATGTGAAAAATCACTTCCGGGGATGTGTATCATAATATTTTTGTAACATCTATTTTCAGATATTGATGACTGCACGCCAAATCCGTGCAATACAACAACAAGCATAAACTGTATAGATGGAGCAAATGACTACACGTGTAATTGTAAGCCTGGATATACCGGAAAATACTGTGATACAGGTACAATACTGTATATGTTATGTAGTAGCCTGGGATTCAGGCGTTGATATTTTTTTTGCTTATTCATAACTTACGCGCTATTTCATACTCGATCGTCATAGATAACACAACATCTCTGGTTTTGATAGTATCAAACGTCGATTTGCCGAACAGAAGCACATAAAAAGAATCGACAGACTGGAACCCAGGCTAGTTATGTAGGTAGTTTCCGATGTTTCTCATACCAAAAGTGCCAGCCAATTTAGGCGTAAAATCTTAAGCATATATTATATATTGGAAATGACCACCACAACGGCGACCAGGGGAAGTAATAAATGTTATATGTAAAAAGGATCTATATGTATGTTTTTGTTAATTAAATGCGTCTGTGCGCATTATTTCAATTTTCTTTAAAATATGTTTAAACAAGTCGACTACTTAAAGAATATGAAGCTTTCTCTAAATTAATCAAGAAATACTTTTAATGAAAATTATAATTGGAAAATATCTTTTGTTTCCAAAATCATATCGTTGATTCTCAAAATAGTTATTTAACACACATGCATATTGTACGTTAACTTAATGCAATGTTTTAGACCCTATTTAATTTTATCTTATGTATTCCTTTTCCAGCACTTTGTAGCCTATTCATTAAAATTTATCTTTATGTCCCTTGATGTGATATTATCTAATACAGTTAAACATTTATTTTTACTTTTTTAAATTGACGAGGCCAAAGAACCCCCATGCAAAAAATGCGCCAATTTTTGACGGAAAAAATAAATTAAAATGTAATTGTAAAATGGAACAAAGGACAAAAATTTTAATACAGGGGCAAAACAAACGATTTAAATTTTGGAAAAAAAAAATAAAAAATCACCTTTGACACGTTATTTTAATATGATTTTTCTTCTAAAAGGGATTTATTTTTTATTTTACCATTAAACGGGTAGTTAGTTGTATGTCTTTTAAAAACATTTTAAAATTTTCTAAATTTAAAATTATTGCGGCCGTGCTTTCTGATAACATCTTATCTGTATAACGGATCCCTTTAACTGATTGTAATTCTTTTCTCTTTTACTTTTTTTGGGCTAAAAATCGAAGATGCTTTAAGTCACGGTTTTAAATGGGCCACGTGTCATGATAAAGAAAACAGATTCACGTGTGATTGTCCTCCAAGATTGTATGGTGTTGTATGTGACACAAGTAAGGCTATTTGTTAAATCTTGCATAACGATTGGATATTTATTTTTATGAAATTGGTTATAAAAATCATAATAGTGTGTTATATTACTTACAACGAGTTATTTTACTTTTTATGAAGTTAAAGAATTACAACGCCATCTTCATAATTTTAAATTTTTATTTACTTTTCTGTTTCAATTTTTCTATTCTTAAAACCCATTTATTTAATGATTTCGACTGTCTCGAAAAGAAATTTAACAAGACGCATATATATACGAAGCGAACTTTTAGAGCTTCATTTTAGCACTGACATATAAGTAGAAAGTGTTAGAATTACAAAAGGAATTACAAATAGATAATTCCCTCGCAAACAATATAAACACATTTTTAGTGACAGTTAAGTTAATTGTATTAAGACTTTTTGATTTAAGTATTTATTTTGTGAATGTGGCACTAGTAAAGGTTATGGCTATTTCGAGTCAAGGAATTAAATTCAAGTATAAAGATAGAAATTAACGTCAAGATACTATTTTCTCTAACTATACAGATATTTGCCATCCGACTCCGGCAGACGTCGTCTTTGTTTTAGATTCATCACTGAGCATGTCAGAACAAGAGTTTACTAAACAGCTGGAATTTGTTGCTAACTTTAGCAGTAAAGTTCCTATTGGACCACGTGACTTCCAAATTAGTGTAGTAACATTTTCAACAGATGCGAATGTAGAGTTCTATCTTAACCAGTATAAAGACAACGTGTCACTCCATGACGCAATTATGAACGTTAACTATAAATATGGGATAACACGGACTGACAAAGGACTAGAAAAGGTAAGGTGATAAATCATGTTTAATATATATTCATTAAATATTTCGTAGTCGCAGCTTGTGTTTAATACTTTGCTCAAATCTTATTTTGCCTTGGACTTTCTTTAAAAAATAAAAATAAAAATTGCAGGAGAAGCATTTTAACAGAACAGTTATGACAGTGCCATAGGGCTGTAATAATAACACAGGATGCGATAGGATCGTTGGATAAAAGCGCAATTGAAACAATAATTGAAAAAATAATAATAAAATAATAATAAAAATTAAAAATAAATTGACTCCGTAGCCGCAGCTAGTGTTATGTAGTTTGTACCATTATCATGTTCCTCTGGGTTTGAATGCCTGGATTTGGACTATTTCAAAACTTTATATCAGAATTTCATTTTCTCATTAATGATAGTGTCTTTGGGATAAATATTTAACCAGTAAAGAATAGGATCGTTGGATAATAGAATGGGTAATTTAAGGGGAATACTTGAAAACAAAGGCATTAAAAGATCTTATCATCTTTGGTTTTAAAATTAGGCAAGTATTTAAGATATCCTTTGTACTTCACGTATTGTAGTTTTATATTATTATCTATGTGCCTTCAACATTTACATCATTACATGCATGCATATATATATATATATAAATATAGGTAAGGACAGAGGTTTTCAGTCCAAAACATGGCATTGAAAGACGAATAAATGGTACACAAGCTTCTAAGTTTGTTTACGTCTTGACTGACGGCATGTCTACATACATAATGAAAACCAAGGAAAAAGCAAATGATTTGAGGTCTATTGTGGATACAATTGCCGCCATAGGTAAAAAAGATATTTAAATCTGGAATTAACTACCATTATTTATCATCCACGAGGATCTTATTTTAACATTGATATACTGAAATACTCTTAAAAATACCCAACTAGATCTAAATTTTAATATGTTTATTCACTCCACACACATTTAAACTGTTTGTACGAGTAAGGATGTTTCATGATTACATTTCATTTGTCAAACAAATTAAAAAAGTACAATTGTCTTAAATTTCAGGAATAGGAACAGAAGTTTCGCACCAAGAACTCATAGACATTGCTTCTGACCCATCGTTTGTTTATTCCGTGAAGAACTTTAATTCTTTGTACACCGTTCTCAAACGCCTGGTTCATTTTGACTGTGATGGTAATGAAATGTTTTACTAACTTAAGTTCAGCATAGTATAATATGGAATGTAATTTTACTTTGCTTTCATCATTGACCAAAGTTTTGAATTGTATTCACACAGTAAAATGCATCAAATAATATTAATTTATCTTATTGTTTTGTTTTTCAGAATGTGGTACAAGTGCGGCATCGGACGTTGCAATTTTCTTGGATTCGTCGTATTCTGTAACAGCCGAACAGTATAGCTTAGGTATCGATGCTATTATACACATGATTGACGTCATGAAACATTTAAGCGTTAATAATACACGTGTAAGTGTGACGTCATTTTCTGATGATATAAGAAGCGTTATTGGTATGGGCGAGACTTTTAACAAAAACGTCATTAAAAGAACGCTTAACATGATCGCACAATCACATGTAAAGACTCAAGTACAATTAGAAACCGTTTATGCTTATGCTAGGGATAGCGCTTTGAACAAAACAATTTTTAGGCAGGGCGCAAAGAAATTTTTCTTGATTTTCACGAATGGTAAAGCGGATATGCAGGTCTCGACATTAGCGGTGGTCCGTTGGCCCGAGACCACCTGATTTTGGCAAGGACCACCTAATTTAAAAATGCACTGGTCCGTCGGACCACTTGAATTTTCTGGTTTGTGCAAGGCTCATTTGGGAGAATGGCGATTTGGTCAAAAACATGTTATATATATTTTGTTTAAAACCATTTGTCCTATGAATATGTATATGGTTCATTAATAGATTAATCTGATAAGTTAAAGAAGGTCTTAAATCATCAATAAATTTTATTTTAAGTCACTAAAATTTTGTCTATGCAAGTTAAAAGAGTTAAGAATTTGTGATATTAAGCTAGGTACAAATTGTATTCAAATGATGCTAGTAATGATGCATCGTCGGATTACCACGGTGGAACCTTTAACATTTATGTTATGTTACATGTTAATCACACGTGGGTATCCGACGATGGTAATTATGATATTGTATGGGATACCGTATGAACTTTCAATTTCATATACATGAATAATGGCAGCAAACTAAAGGAACTTGAGAAATAGTTAATACATCAAGAAATTATTTGCTAGTTATCTTTATTTTAACTTTTTAACGCTAAGAGATCCATTAAAATTACTTTTTTTTAAATTTTTAATAAAAGGTTAAAAATACTCAATGTAAAAAATAAATATCAACCAACAAGCAACGGGGCGGTAAAAATTCTGTATTCATAATAAATCTGTGAGAAAAATAAGCTAAACTATAGTTATATATAAAGTTGTTTTTATTTTTTATCCTTTAGATATTTCCTTGTTTTAAGATAATTTATTAGTTTTTATCAAAATGTTAATCTATAAAAGATACATGTAATTATCATGATTATAAGACGTACCACGTATCAGCAATGTATATTTGAATTACAGTAAGAAAAAAACCCAGACACAAATGGTTTCACTATTCCCTAACTTGAGTTGAGACAGAAATCACTTCAATATAAAAGTTAACACAAATAATTAAGAGCCCTGTTGTGTATTTTTGAATGAGCTATGAAAAAAAAAACAACAAATAACTTCACGACAGAATACCTACTAACTTGCTCTCAGATAAAAATATATATCTAAAATGTCTGTTTTCTTTAAAGGTTAATAATACATCTTTGTCATCAATTTTAAGCATACTTTTTTCTAAACTTACAGTAAACTGATATAATAATAATAATTGACCACTTGACTTCTGGAAGGACCACCTTAATTTCAAATCTAGTGGTCCGGCTTACCACCTGATAAAAAAGTTAGTGTCGAGGCCTGGATATGAATGACGAAAGTGCACTTGAAAGAGAGAAAGCTATGTTAGAGGCTAACGATGTAAATATTGTTGCCATTGGTAGTGGAGGAGATGTTAGTTTGGAAGGTTTGTTTAAGCTGGTGACAGATACATTTAATGTTTTTATTACTAACAAAGATTCGCCAATGAGCAATCTGGATGTTTTGCAATCGGAATTTGTATATAACAAGTGCGACTTGAAAGGCGAAAGGTGAAAATCTTTCAACTTCATGTAATACTGTAAAACTGGTGGTATATAAGTTAACATGTATATCAGAGTGACAAAAGGTGTCAGTTGTTCTTTTTGTATCCACTTTTTTGCTTCCCCCCTGTCCACTATATTTTCCCAATTTCACCCCTTTTTTTACTTTTTTTTCCCCAATCCATTTGCGATGCATTCCCTTGGAAAAATTTTCCTTTGTCTTTTTAATTTAAAAGGGGTACAAAGGAACATTGTTTAACCCTTTTCTTATTTTTTATTCTTTGTTTTAAAAAAAGTTGTTTTTAAATTGAGAAAAAAGACGTGAAATATGACATTTTTTTGCCCTTTTTTAAAATTTTCCCAAAAGAAAAATTTGTTTTTTGAATTAAAAAAGGGGGTGTTTTTAAAAAGGGAAACGAATAAAATGTTTTTTTATTAAACAATTTTACAAAGAAAAGACTTTTTTATTTAATTTCTGCCCAAGGGTTTTACTGTATTTTTAAAGTGTTTCTTAAAAAACCCAAGATTTAAACCTACAAGAAAATGACGTGTTTTATTCTTTTTTTCTTTTAAAAGGTTTTAAATTGAAACTTAAAAATTTTTTAGTGTTGATTAGAAGTATACGCTTGTCATGTTTAGTAATTTTGCCGATCAGATATCGACTATCGAGTATAATGAAAATGACGGTGAGATATTCTCATGATTTATTTCTGTAGATATTTCTATCAGAAATAGATATATCCTTTTCATAATATATGGATGTTGAATTTCTCTGGTGGAAAGTCCACCAGACCACAACAAATATTTAAAACGTATGCCATTGGTCATCGAAAATTGACCACGCAGTAATCTTGATCAGTTGGAAAAACATAGATAACTCCCTTTATAGCGTATTGTTATACGATGTAAAATACTCTGTTTAAGGTAGTGTATTGTGTATGACTAACCGACAAAAATATCGCGAAATCTTTTTCCCTTTTAAAAAACCCCCTGCCCCCGATAACCCCGCCCATGTAAAAATTTAATTTTTGTTAAATGCTCAAAATTGTTAATTTTTTTAAAAATGATTTTTAAAACAACGTCACCATTTGCGGGAAAATATTGCTACAATATCTGTAACTTTACTCGTCAAGCATAGAATTAACATCATTTCTAGTATTAGTTTTCAAATGTTCCTCGGACAGCACAGTTTTTTTAAAAAGTTTTTTACAACAATAACATTTATAAATCAAGACTGTAACCTGGCAATGTAATAGCTTAAACAAACTACGACACTTTTCAAATCAGCCTTCTGATAAAGCTAAGCTCATGGGTCAGATAATTTAGCAACCGAAATCGTTGAAACAACGTAGTGATAAGGTTAAACACAAGAATAATTGTTCTTTGGAGGTTTGTATATCAACTTATACAAACGAGGTTTTACGCAATCGTAAAATGTCTGCGAATAAATTGCTTAAATGGGAAAGAATAAGTCAAATGTTACCTGGAGAAAGTTGTGATGAATGTAAATTGATTTGTCGTAAAAGTAGCAAAATGTGATAGTAGTGCTTTGACTTGGAACAGAGCAATTTAGGAAAATATATAGTTCAAATACAAAAATACCATAACTCTTCTAGGCCACTAAAATCATCGGCAAATTATGGTGTAGTTTTTTTTGTCCAAGCAAGTGCATTTCTCTGACGTCCTTTTATTTTGCGGAAATCGTATGATGAAAAATATATTTCTGACCTGGCAGGGTATCTCGAGTCACTTCTACAAGTACCATAAGCACAACGTTTAGTTATCCGTTTCCTTTTAGCTCTTAATTCGAATTTCAACTTGTTTTCTCTAACAATTGTGCTAATTTTTTAAAATATTGCGTGCAAACAAATGCCAATGTCAGCACAGATGACGCAGTGGTGATTGGGTAAAAGCTGGAAGCATTCTCACACAAAGCTAAATTCAGTAACGTCGCACTGGTATTCAGCACGTTCTAATTCTTTTTAACTTTTTACTCTGATTCCATATTATCAAAATCTGGAAACAAAGTGATCCCTCGGAAGTATTAATCACAAAATTACATAAGAATTGCAGACTCGGTTTGATTGAGTCTGTACATGAGGGATAATGAATAAGTGCAACATCCCTCACGCCCCCTAGCACCGGCTTGAGCGGTACTCAATTCTCAAACTTTAAAGTGCTGGTATCAATGATCCCGATGGACCAGAAAAATATAACAACACTGAAGTGAAGTACGGGGCAACTTTTTACAGCTGCCACACGGCACTTGACACCTGCTGTTGTGAAGTATAAAAATCTGGAAACAAAGTGATCCCTAGGAAGCATTAATCACAACAAAATTACATAAGAATTGCAGACTCGGTCTGATTAAATCTGTATATGAGGGATAATGAATAAGTGCAACATCCCTCACGCCCCCTAGCACCGGCTTGAGCGGTACTCAATTATCAACACTTAATAGTGTTGGTATCAATAATCCCGATGGACCAGAAAAATATAACAACAAAAGCCACCTCATTATAGGAAATCAACTGGATGTGCAGTCCGGGGTGAGAAAATATTTTTCGTCAAAGGGACAAAAATGTAAATAACTTATGTTTTGCAATAAATCAAAAACCAAAAAATGGGTACAGAAATGTTTAGCATATGTATGTAAATGTTTTTATTTACTTACAATAATTTTTTAATTCTCGCAAGATTGATAATGTTATCTCGCAGTAAATCACGTGTCTTACTCATATCATGTGAGACTCAGATGCTTCGCAGCCGAATATAGGACTTTTACTTTCAAATTATTTGAAAAAAGAAGTTCATTACGAACTACAGATGTAACATACAGATGAAATCAATGTCAAGTAAAAATAAATGAATTAAATTTATGATAAACAAAAGGTTATAATCAAATAGCATGCAATTACGGATGTAATTATATGTTTTAATTTTTGTACTTCGCAGTAATCACAGCTTGAAGAAATTTACGTATTCGCGGGAATTATTTTTTGAAGACTTACAGTGTGCTAAACTCGTTTTCCGCTCATATGAATATCTTATTAGCAAAACAAAATACATGTTCATTTACAAGTTACAGTGTAAGTAAAAATGTGTCAGATACATCCGAAAAGAGATCTTTCGGTGTGATTGAGGAAACGCGTCCATGAAGTATTTTGAAAGTTATATACTAGGCTTTTCTCTGGCTTGTTTAGGCAATTTGTTATAAAACAAGAATGAATAAAGATGTAATTTAATATAAATGTTATGTTTATATGCAAAAAGAAATATAAAAATATGAAACTAAATTGCGTAATAGATGAACACCAATAGAAAAGCTGACGACGCTAAAGAATCGCTACAAGCAACATTACTAGATTTGCCTGTTGTTATGTCTTCTAAGTTAAGTGTGTTAAATACAACTGCGGCAATCAGAGGCTTGTCAAATTGACTACTATGCAAAACTGCATTTTTATCATCAAATGTGTACTTGTCCATTTCCATAGTCAACTCATGCCGGCTAAAATTACTTATAGTAGATACAAGAGGAAAAATGACACCATTGCCAAAATATCCTTGTATTTTAATGTCAGCAAAAACAGAATTTACCAAAATGTCGTTGTAATCACATGAATGACTAGTATGTGGTGTACATTTAAACACGGCACAATATTGCATGTGTAAAATACCAGGCTCATACATCATTTCATCCACAACGCTAAGAATGATTGTCTCGTGTTCGTCGCGTGATTTGAATTGATACGTCACAACACAGCATACGTCATCTTTGCACGTCGTTACAATTCCAGATTGACCTTCCATGATGGCGTAAGACATATTTAAACCGAAATGATAAGTGCCTTCATATGTTTCGTTAATGAATTGCTTAACTTTACCAGAACTGTTTATTGACATTACTGTGTTTGGAGCATATGTTTTTGTTACTTCAGTTTCTATTTCAGACACTAGTAAAATGCCTTCCGTGCCATTAGTGTTAACATCAGATAAACTTTGGATATCATTTCCGAATATACCCGATCCTGCCATTTGATATAAAGAGTTTCTGATATTTGATGCAATCACGTTGATACCGTTCTTCTTTGCCAGTCCTGAATACATTTGTTGCGGTATTATAAATGGCAAGAATACGCTCCATGCAGATGTTACTAGTAAATTTTTAATACCATACGTATTCAACAACACTTGTGTAGGTTCATTTTGCATGATGTCAAAACAGACAATTGTTCCAAACCTTCCAAAAGGTGTATCAAAATATACGTGTTCAGCATTGGGGGCGGGGTCAAACAGCGGTGTCTCGTCGTACATGTGAAGTTTGTGGTATCGAGCAACCAGTTGTCCATTATTATCAAAAATAACATTTGTATTGAACTGATATCGGCCGTCGTGTGGGCATGTTTTATCTGTCGTGATGTCACATTTTTTGATGTCACCCATGTTGGCTACTAGATAAATTTTGTACATTTGAGCTGTGCAACTAAGATTTCTTAACACGAGTGTATCAGCGAAACGATCAGGCTCCATGCACGGATTCCAGTCTGTGCTAGAATCCGGAATGTCTTCTAAGAAAGGAACAATCGAATTACGTGAATGATCAAATCCTGTTATACCATACTCCGGGAAAACAATAATCTTTGCCCCCTGAAAAGAAATATCGAATACATTTGAAATATAAAAGCAACGTTTTTACATTTCAACGGCATACTTTGAAAGGTATGTGGCTTTATGCTTCTAAAACAAGATACATTTTAAAATACGGGTTTTTATTTTGTTATACCTTTAATATTAAATATTCTAGAATACATGAGAACTGAATAATACCTGTCAACATTGTTTCGTTTTAACAATGGTTCGTAACTATATTGCTTCCAGGTTCGAATTCATTAAAAAAGGAGTGTGTTCCTCTATCGCTTCATACATTTCTTCGTTTCTCCATTGATTTGTTTCAACAATGTTTGGTTACTACGTTGCTTCGTGTCTACATTGCTTCGTTTCTAACTTGCCCTCTTATCAGAGAGGGTTTGGACGGATTTCCGTTCAAAAGGTAAACATTTAACGCCATAGATATTCCATTACGAAATTACAAGTTAATTCGTACAGAAAAAAGTATTTAAAATATTTCCCCAAATTGATGTATTATATAGAAAATCTAAGGATAGGAACATTTGATATAAAAAGCATTTTTATAAAGTGCTTTCACTTAGCCGATCTTTTTAATAGCTTAAATTTGAATTTAGTTAATAAAAAGGCAATATAATAGAGTACACACGTTAAAATCATATCATTGACCTAAGGTTTGATACGGAATTGCCCTATTTCTTTTTCCATAAATTTACAGATAATCCATAATTATGGTGCATCATTAAATCATAAAATGCTGTTTTATTTTAGTTCTTTTTTTAATTTACATCATTTCCTCTTGTTTATTTTATGACTGTTTGTATTTAAAGTAATATCATAGAATAGACCTTCAAAATTACAAATCTGATAAAAGCCCTGCCCTTTGGGAACAGTGTGACAGTAAAATCCCAGTCGGATGACACCACACAGGCAGTTGATTGTGATACCCTTGCTCCTTTTACCCAAAGTGCTCGAAAAATGAAAGACATAAATACCTCTTTCGCCGCTTTTTGTGACTGCTCATCAAAGACTTCCAAATTTTTCGACATCCACTGAAAAGCTTCCTGTCTCGTGAAATAAGCTTCAGGATCGTCAGGTGATATGACAACATGTTCATATACCGCTACTTTCACTTTTGTACTTGTTACCATAGCGATGACAGAAATCACAAAGCAGCAAACAACACTTCTTTTAGCAGACATTTTGATTTTCATTTAACAAATATTAATTATCCGTTTATCTTTTAAAACAGAACGATATTTCTGCAATTATATACAATTTGCATGACTAAAAACAATCAATATTCTATATTTATCAGTAAATGTTTCCCATTTTACAATTATAAAAAGCAATGTTGAATAATCAATTCATAATTCATTAATTTTTCAAGAATGTTTTACTAATAATGATCGAATTACATTTGCAAGTCTCGTTATACTAAATATTGGATATCCTGCTGAACAACTTAACCAATTTTCTAAAAGTTTTTCACTAGATACACACATCTGCGTATTGTTTATTCCTCAAACTATAAACGCTTTAATAGAAAGGTAAGTATTTTACTGCTGAAAAATGAGGTTATCAGATGCTAAAATCTACCTTATCCACAGGTGAACCAGTGATCCTCTAACTTATATTCCTATCATTGAAATTAAACCACGTGGTATTAAAATGAATGATGAGCGTTTCATATAATTAACAAAAGAATAACAAAAACAGAAAAAAACCAGCCTACGTAAAATATACAGATCAGCGGAACACTTTAGTGTATAAACACTTGGAAAATCGCGATGGTAAAAGAATCATAAAAATAGTTACCAAACTTTTGACTTTGTTACGTCCAAAATTAGATTAATGTAAACGTCATAAATATCCATGGTGCTCTTAACAATATTCTAAATTATTATTCTGCCTCATGGAACCCACCAACATTTGTTATACCCTAATGTGGAATGTCATACATATCCAGTGAAGGTCAAAAATAACAAGGCTAAGTAAGAACAAAGCAAACAATGATAGGCGCTATCAGTATATTTAAGTAGTCATCCACATTTCATTGTCATTTTATTATGTCCTTTTAAAATTCCTAATACAGGATGACACATACGCGCTGCGTAATTTAAAATGTCAGAATGAAAAATAACAAAACAATCAACGGTTTGCAATGTTAAAGTTGAGTTACTATAATATATTTGTGCATGCTTTTGCGTGCGTGTGCTTGTGTTTTATTTAAACCATGATGATGTATTTTTAATGATTTGGAGCGTAATATGTTAACAGTTCTCAATATTCAAGATAAAAAGTTCAATCTACCAAACAAATTTAAAGCTTGGTCCTCTTTACCATTATCTCTTCATGCCTAATTTATGCAATAAACACAAAAACCAAAACAAAATGTAAGCATAATTCCGTTTAGGCTGTTAAAACGTTTCTAACATTGTTTCACATTTTGCATTCTTTTGCGGCGGCGTTCAATGATCGCATCCCACACACGACCTTGTAACACATGACCACAGAAAAAGGAGCCCAGCAGGTGACCAAACAAAAACAGGACAGGACACAAGGCAAAGCACGGACGGAATGTTTATATTACATAATTTAGCTGTAGAAATTTTTTCGATTTAATGACAAAATACATGTATGTATATAATGTATAAACGTGTCATATGAATTTATATTCATACTTTTTCGAGTACGTATACGTATATGTTGTTCTTGCCGAAAACAAAACACAAGAAAAAGATATCATTACTCAGTAAATTTACTTATAGAAAGTTTGATTTTACCACATAGCCTTTATTTCTTGACGGATGATTTTCATGTTTGATAAGAATATACTTTGGATGCTTTTTCTTCGGGCAGATTAAGGGTGTCAATTCGTGCCAAGGTGATCGTGTTCAAAATGGATATTACAATTTTGTTTATAAGCCTTAACTTGTTGACGGATGTTTCTCATACTTGGTAGTAACATATATTGTATAGTCCTTTAGATTCTGTCTGAGTTGTTGTGGTCAATTATGGTTAAAAACCCATTTTCTTACCTGTTGTGAATAGTAGTAAATCGACTAGAGAGCAACTTCGAGGAGGATCCATTGCCTTGAGCGGTATTTCTTTTGTTTACCAGATATTTATTGTATCTTGATGATATATTGTAGAATGTTGTTAAAATGATGTTTGAGTCTGCAACATTTTCAATTTTGCCGTGTTGGGCTTTCTTTAGGGATTCTGTATTTATCTATTCTATTGCATAAAATACTGCTTAAAATCAATAATTTTTATGTATATTCGTGTATTGCATATATTTGTTAACATCAAAATCTGAATAGTTTAAATGGAAAAATCATGACATTTAAAACTTCATGATTTTTCAATTTATTTTATTATTAATTAAAAAAAATGTTATGTGAATTTCAGCATATTATCCAGATGAAGCAATAAAACAAATAAATCATTTATAAATTTGTTCTACACAGGGTATTATTCCTAATTTCCAATGAAGTAACAGGATAACAAAGAAAAATATTCAAGTATCAATATAGAACATATTTGTAGAATCTAAAACAAAAATTGTTTTATTGTATCATCTGGATATGATGAAATGCACATATATTTTTTACCGATGCTCAATTTGTAATCCATATGAGGTTAATCTCCGTAAATACCAAATGTCAATGACATAATATACATGAGATATACTTTACCACAACTTTAGTGCTTTCACCATTTGAGAATTACTTTGTTGAATTAATATTCCTACCGTGGAATAATAAATTGAATTGCAAAGCAAGCAACTATCCCACTTATGTCAGTAGGTGGTGTAAATTGTATTCTATTTTGATAAAATATGGTTATGGTTTAATATTTTTTTTGATTTATGTTGTTTTCGAGATTTCTATCAACGGGAAATGTTTCTACCCGCTAATTAAATCATTCATCAGTCTTTAATCGGTAAGACTCCGTTTTTGTTAAGTTTTTTAACCTTACCTTGTGACCAAACTTTATACAATTAATACCAATAACGGCTCGAGGGATTTGCCTAACAGGGTTCATCACAGGTTTTATACTAATCCAACTGTTATGTGCGCAGAAGTAAATAACGGATCATAATTTTCAAACCTGGTGTGTTATTATGAAAGGTTTATAACAATTTGATTATAACAGATAAAAGTATATTTGTCATTACAGATGCTTAAATAAAATATATTTTTAGAGCTAACCCAAAACAAAGTTTGAAAATTTTATGGAAATATTTAATAACCAATTACAAACGATAATGTTAAAATGAAGATATACAGAGTCATCTAAGTCACTTTATCTTGTCCACAGGCGCTAGTCACATAATCAAATATTTTACATAATCGGTCTATATATGTATATAAAGATATAAGGCCCCCAACGAAACAAAAACATCATGCGGAACAAACAAGAACAATGCTGAAAGAAACGACCAGATCACGGTTATCTCTTTCTAGTCGCCACCTGAAAGGATCAATCCAAGCGTTAAAGCTTTTTATTTCATTAAAATTCTTCAAATAGCAAAGAAATGAGTAAAAGTTTCAGAAAATGCCAATATTTTCAATCCATGTCGTTTTCGACGTCCAATCTATTCATGTATACAAACACGATTTCTGGTCGATTTCTACGAAATAAATAGAAAACATCTAAAATTTCCTCATAAAATTCATAAACAAACTCTTTTTCTATGAATCTGCGAAGTCTAAATTGAACTAGAGCCCTCTTTGTACTCAAATATTTAAAAAATATTGGTTATAGAAGCGGTGGTCAAGTAAAGTGCGCCATTTGTAATTTGAAGTGACAGATAAATGAAGCAAAGAAATAGTATTATACGATTGGTCAATAGTATTCCGGTTATTATCTTAACCAATCAAATCCTTATATAATATTCAGAGCGGAACAGTATATACATGCGCTATACATGGCGATAAAATACTGTCACAAGCGAGATTCTTGTGTATTTTTTAATGAAATACGTACGAAGAGGGTATTTGATCAGTGAAGACTTCGCAGATCGATAGGAAAAGAGTTTGTTTATGGAACGTACGTGGAAATTCTAGCCGTTTTTTGTTTTTTTCCGTAAAAATCGATCAGAAATCGTGTTTGTATACATGAATGAACTGGACGTCGAAAACGACATGAATTGAAAATAATGGCATTTTGCGAAACTTTTCCCAATTTCTTTGCTATTTGAGGGATTTTAATGAAATAAAAAGCGTTGGCACTTGGATTGATCCTTTCAGATGGCGACCAGAAAGAGATAACCGTGATCTGGTCGTTTATTGCAGCAGTGTTCTTGTTTGTTCTGCATGATGTTTTTGTTTCGTATATAGACCGATTATGTAAAATATTTGATTATGTGACTAGCGCCTGTGATCTTGTCATGCCATGTTATGACTTGGACTTTTTTTGAGAAAGAAAAGTAATATCGTGAAGGGTACTAACGGCTGTAATAAAATTGTACATCTTTCTTTGTCTTTTCGTCTAAAATGTGAACGAGTAAACTAGTATATGGAAAAGAATAAAAATATCTTGCACCTGTTGATTTCTTGATATCTTCCTTCATTATTTGTTGCTGTACTTATAGTTTTTATAATTTGCTCGAACTTCATCTTTTGATTGAATCCTTGACATTCACAATTATTTCACATTCAGTTCCACCTCTAATTCGGTGCATGGCATTAAGTCGAAAGGCATTTTATAGAAAACCACAGTTAAAAGAAGCGACAAATGGTCGAATACGACAAAGTAAAGTATAGAATGGAAATTTAATAATAAAGAATATAATGTCAAACATTGTCGAAAACACAGGTTTATAATAAAACGAAAGAAAACGGAAGTAAATGGGTGCAGTTGATTCATAATTTGTTCTATTTCATTCTTATATATAATCAAATTGTTTTTCAATGTTCGTTATTTTCATTATATTGTAGCGTGTATCGAGCTGTAGATTCTTATCTTTTATTACAAAGTAAAATCACAATATCCTCAAATGCAAATATATAATTTTTCTTTGGATACTTATCCGAATTGATTTGAAATATTCAAATATAATTTTTTTTTGTGGTTTCTTAACCTTTTGATTTGATATCAACTTATAATTCCAGAAATAATAAAATGCAAAAATAACAATCTCAAACTAGTTATTGAATTAAATTATCTGAAACAACAATTATCAAGAAACAACTTAACAATATACTTTTTAACAAAAATTTATATTTCTAAATCTAACACAAATTTATCTCTCACTTAAATATTTCAATACAAATATCCCTTATCTCAAATTAACCAAACGTTCAAAAATCTATACTTTAAAATACTAATTCCGAAATAAACTATCCCATATCAAACATTTGTCCAAGAGGTTTTACTTAAGCAATAAAGTATTTTTAGCACCAGATATCAAAGATGTCTGGGTACTAGTAAATACAATATTACATATATCCAACTCTTACAAGAACAACAGGCAGCCTAACTATTAAACTCATAAATTATGTCTTGAAGAAGCAAAGATATTTTAGCACCAGATATCTAAGATGTCTGGGTACAAGTAAAGATACTTACAACTTCGATCTTAACGGTCCGAAGCCAAACCAAAAACTAACCAAAAATATATTTCCAAAAATAATTTATGCAGAAGGAATTTTACAGAAATCATAAAACGTCCTTAGTACCAGATATCTGAGATTTCTGTCTACCAGTAAGTATTAATGACTTCGTTTCCAATCTCCAACGGACAGGACCAGACTGAATTTTTACGGTGAATACGCTCTATTTATATGCTGGCGAAGCATCATCCCCGCAGTGAATAAAAACAATGATTTTGATTGGCTAAAATAATAAAACGTTTCTTGAAACTGATTTTAATTAAATCTTATAAGCGTCTGTCATTTGAAGTAAATTTCCATACAAAGGATTGTGAGTAAACAAGCAATTCAAAATATTAACACTTTGGATGATTCTGCTGACTTAAATCTATTTGACGAAAAAAACACTAAAATGCCTACTCTTCCTATCTAATTAGATTTACGAATGAATTGTAATATTTTTTTATGCAAATGGCGGACTTATAAAAAGGGGAGGCAATGAATTCAACTATAAAGTACATTTCCGTCACAATATATTCAGTATCGAAAGTTATATGCAACTATATAATTTAGTTGACTTTGCACTATTTTTTTTAATAATTTTTATTTTTATATCTATTTTTAAAATACTCTTTGTATACTTATTTGTTTTAACATTGTGTCATCTAGTTTGGTTCTACATTTGAACATATATTAGCCCACGCATGTTTCCTCTATATAGGGTATGAAACAATGTGCCGTTTAGAGAATACCTTCGCAGAGATCGACAAATACGTCAATGACGTCACTGAGGGCACAAGCGCTAGAGCAGTAAACATACGCATAGAATTTGCAAATTCCTCGTCATCGCAGACCTAGGTTGTCGTTTTTACACCACTGAGCCTTGACAAAGAGACTGGCTTTAACAGTTACGACCTGAAGGATTTCTTTAAAGACATATATACATGCCTCTTCGAAGTCAACCCTGAACGTTGACACCAATTCGTTAAATACTGTCGCATATATGAAGATTATTATCACTATATTTTTGTTAACTATATTTTTTAAAATTTTCAATTACCTGTAGAGTCATGGATATCACTTCATCGTTAAATATTTTAGTAATTTATTTATTTAATTAATTTTATTTATTCATTATATTTTTGTTAACTATATTTTAAAAATTTTCAATTACCTTTCATATCAGCAAAGTCGCTGATAGTTAAAAATATCCGCTGGTATATGTCCTTAGATTTTGGTGTGTGTATATAATGAGCCAGAGGTAGGAGTTGGCCTATTGCTACGTCGTGTAATGTGTGTAGTTGGTAAAAAAGAAGTTGCTACGCTGGGTGTACTGTCTCCGTACCAAACTTCACTGTTACAGACACATGCCAGAGGTCCAATAAACACTCTATGTACGAAATACAATTTTGGCAGCGGAGGAAGTACCTTGCGCCCTTGGCGTTGCATATTCCTTTTTATTGAAGCTTCCTTTGGCCAGTAACCACGAAATTGTGATAGGAAGGCTGACATTAGTTCCTTATTTAAGAGTCGTGCTGGACAGTCGTCAGAATTAGATGCTAGTTCCTTAAGCCTGGCCATACATTTTTGGACTTTAATTTGCGGTTTATCAGGTCCGTATCATGTGGAGATTCATTTAATATCCTGTTATCTGAAGCCGTAATAAGCCGACATTTGCAAGTTCTAATTTCGCACTTCCAATATGTTTTCCCTGACTTTTCGTTACTTTCTTCTTTACTGTTTATATATCCTTGTAAAGTTTGTGAAGTAACCAAATATAAATTGTAAAGTTACTGGTTTATTATCAAATGCGAATGAAAAGAATATATCATATGTACGTTGAAATATCGTGAGACATTCACTCTGTAGTAAGTAAAATGTGCTTGATTACGACATTACGAGAAACACATAAAGAATGCACATACCACAATAAAAATTGTAACACAATTCGTGAAATTCATTTATTTTAACAAGAACAATTGACATTATCATTACTAAAAATCACTAAAACTTATAATATAAATAGATTTTTTTGTGTGTAAAAATGAAACTTTTTCACTCTTAAACACCAGCTTCACCACCCGTGAAAAGTTTACAACCAGTGTTCACTATGTGAAATAATTCTCGATTTTACATACAAAACAAACAAATGTCTCCCATTTTTTCATAATAATTAGAAAATTGTATGTCTTCATTAACATGCATCAAAAGGTATGACATTATGACCGTTTTATGTAAAATATCGAATAGAAATGATTACCTCTATTACACTTAAAGCTTAAAGATCTCATTTACAAACAAAATGAACTTTGATAACATTTAGTATTATCAAATGAAAAGTAAAACCGATAAGAAAAACATTTTTTGTAGGAAAATTTCATTTCTGTACAACCTGCATTTTGCTATAATTCAATCTTATTTTGTAAATTCACAGATGTACAATTGTTGGTATATACCTTTGATAAGATAAATAAAATCCGTTCCCCTTGAATATTTAAGTTATTCATTTTAAGTTATGCTCGTGGGGTTCTTGCTTGATAGTCAATCAGACTTTGTAGCTTAGGCAATCACTTTCTGATAGTCATTCACTCTAAAATATTCATTAATGAAAAAAAACTCTGAGACAATAATGTCGTGAAGAGTGATAGTTTTTCGAGATTTTTTGCAACCTTTAACAGATAAAAAAGCATTACTCCTTAAAGATACACTTTGCTGTTCTTTTATTTAAAATCTAGGAAACTCTTGCTGAACATTCTTTTTTGAATGAGAGAAAGTGAAAATTATGCACTAGAAACTGCAATCATCCGTTACATTCAAGCTAAGGCGGTCTTTACTGCCAGTTTATTTAATGACCCTATGTATTCATATTGTGCTTACCTAAATGGTGTAGAATTTAACACGTAAAATATGTACTTTGCGTGTACTTACAACATGTTTATTTTATAATTAGAGGCTATATAGAATTACCGATATTTTAAGATCATTCCAAATTGGAGCATGTTATATCTTTAAGCTTCACGCAGTTTTATTTTATCATAAAGTATAAAAAAGTAATTCTTTGATAATAAGAAATAAAAGAACATTTCAAAGACGATTAAAATGTTTATGTTATGTTTGATTTTCAGTTATCACGAATTTATAAATTTTGATTCCATTTTAAGTCAGAAAATTAAATTATTATTCATTTAGTTTGTGCGTAGGAACATGATTTTCATTATATTTTGTTTTATTTTTAAATTATCATTTACAAAGTGGGCACATTGGGAAACTGATTTCACCTAACAGTAACTTCGATTTTCTTAATATGGACCAAATTCTAATCAATAGTCTGGTATAAACTGGATTTAATTGGAATTAAAATGCATTATATAAAATGCATATCTCACTGATCAAGGTAATGATACTAATGTTTTAGGTTTACCAAATAAATATTTTTTCTTTGACGATTATAGACGTTTTTTGAAAACCGACGGTTTTTTCCAACGGATTATCCAATTGAAAGGTTTTAATATAAGAAATTTTGTCACCCTCGCCAAAATGCTACATGAGTATTTTTATAATTAATAAAACGAAATGTTTCATTCATTATGAATACTTCTTTTTTATTAATACAATATTAATTAAACGTAACATTGCATGTCATTTCAGACAGCTTTTCGATATGAATATTATGTTAAAAGACCATTCATTGCATTCGTACAATTGTGAAAAGAACAAAGTATCTTATTTTACCAAATAATGTGATCATTCCACGTGAATCAACTATATTTATGTACAGTTACTGTTAAACATTAATTTATATTGGTGAGAATCTTGAATCATTTTTTGAATGATTTCGTAATTTTTAATATATTTACAATTCATTTTGCATTTAGATGTTTGACAATTTATTGAAAATACGTTATCATTTATAAATTTAACACTGTACAGGGACTTATCTGAAAGATAAATTGTTTATTGTTATAATTTAAATGCTATGTTTCCAAGATCTATAGTTTAAATGTTGTTATGCTGTGTGTTTTTTCGTACATTGTATATCATATTGCCATTAACCTTTCAATATTGTAGATCAATTTGAAACGTGTTGTATTTACTTTATTGATGAGTTACAAATATTTATTGTTCACCAGAATTCGGAAAAATTAAAGTAACAAATAAAATCTTTCCGTTCCAATATTTTGCTTATGACCTTTATTAAAAAATATCAGGGATGGCAATTATTATTGTTATATTGTTATATGAACTGGTATGAATCATTGTTGCTCTTTTTTCTCTTTTTTTTTCAATTTTAAGAGAAAGATGTTATGAATTTGCATATAAACTAAAAGCAAAATGTTGCTTGAACTAGTATACTGATATAACACAAACTTTAAGATATAAAAAATTTGTAAACCATACATCGAAATCTAAGCTAAGATTCATGTACATCGGGGTAACGGAGGAGGGCTTAAATCAAGCAAATGTTACATTAAAATCATTACGAATAGAATACGTTACATACATACATTTGTAAACATAAGTAAAGTTATTTCATTCTGAAAATGTACAATACATATCTAATTTACACAGAAGGTTAGTTTTGAAAATAATTCAGAATTATTTAAAACACACGCACGTTAAATGTTTTGAATCGTATTACAAATCAAAGTTTCAAGCAGTTCCTGATAACACAAGGATGACAAAAATACTATTTCAGTGTAATTTAAATGTTCGAAAACTTGCAAATGTCAAAAATAAAACTGGATCTAAGATGCTTTATAGATATATATCAATAGAAAAGTGGACAACGATAATGTAGTCCCCTGAGCCACATTGCTAGATGCGCCTGTTTTAATGACGTCTAAGTGAAGCGTGTTATTGCTAGATGCGCCTGTTTTAATGACGTCTAAGTGAAGTGTGTTATATACAACTGCGGCTAAAAGAGGATTTTCAAATTGATTACTATGCAGTATTGCATTTTTATCGTCGAAAGTGTACTTGTCCATATCCATAGTCAGTTCGTTATTGTCAATAGTAGTCACAAGCGGAAAAGTTACACCGTTGTCAAAATATCCTTGTATTTTAATGTCAGCAAAAATAGAGTTTATTACGAAAATGTCGTCGTAATCACAAGAATAAATAGTATGTGGTGAACATTTAAACACGGCACAATACTGCATGTGTATTATCCCAGGCTTATACAGCAGTTCATCTACAACGCTAAGAATGATTGTCTCGTTTTCGTCGCGTGATTTGAATTGATACGTCACAACACAGCAAACGTCATCTTTGCACGACGTTACAATTCCAGATTGACCTTCCATGATGGCGTAAGACATATTTAAACCAAAACGATAAGTCCCTTCATATGTTTTGTTAATGAATTGCTTAACCTTACCAGAACTGTTTATTGACATTATTGTGTTTGGAGCATATATTTTTGCTTCTTCGGTTTCTATTTCAGACACTAGTAAAATGCCTTCCGCACCATTAGAGTTAACATCAGATAAACTTTGGATATCATTTCCGAATATACCCGATCCTGCCATTTGATATAAAGAGTTTCTGATGTTTGATGCAATCACGTTGATACCGCTCTTCTTTGCCAGTCCTGAATACATTTGTTGCGGTATTATAAATGGCAAGAATACGTTCCATGCAGATGTTACAAGTAAATTTGTAATACTGTACTTATTCAACAACACTTGTGTAGGTTCATTTTGCATGATGTCAAAACACACAATTGTTCCAAACCTTCCAAAAGGTGTATCAAAATAAACATGTTCAGCATTGGGGGCGGGATCAAACAGTGGTGTCTCGTCGTACATGTGAAGTTTGTGGTATCTAGCAACCAGTTGCCCATTATTATCAAAAATAACATTTGTATTGAACTGATATCGGCCGTCGTGCGGACATGTTTCATCAGTCATTTTGTCACATGTTTTCATGTCACCCATGTTGGCTACTATATAGATTTTGTACATTTGAGCTGTACAACTAAGATTTCTTAATACAAGTGTATCAGCGAAACGATCTGGCTCCATGCACGGATTCCAGTCTGTGCTAGAATCCGGAATGTCTTCTAAGAAAGGAACAATCGAATTACGTGAATGATCAAACCCTGTTATACCATACTCCGGAAAAACAATAATCTTTGCCCCCTGAAATGAAATATCGAATACATTTGAATCTTTATATTTGAAAGTTATTATGTTAAGTGGATACGACTTATACGTAAATTGTAGAACTAGATAAAAATGATTGACAGGTCTAAAGCAAAAGGCTGTGGAACATTAAAATATTAAAAAAAAGAATCATATAAATTTGTTTGTTTCTAAATAGTTTTTGTCCATATTGCTTTGATTCGACACTGTTTCGTTTTTACATCACCTAGATTATAAATGGATGTTTTTTTTCCTATTGCCGTCAGATAAAATGGAGATAAGTGATTAAATTTTTAATATGCATATTTTCTATCAGTCTGTTGCTGCGCCTGGCAAAGGTGAAAACTCTAATAAATTGATATCAATAACGAACAGCGAGTTATTTCAACTTTAGTAAATATGAGTTAACAAACACTTAAGCTTTATAGTGCGAAAAGAACGACTTGATAATACGTTAAACGTTTGATTAATTCCCTTCGCCGTAATGAAATAATTGCATATCCATCCACTCACCAATTAACTTATCGTCTTATCTGAAAGTTTTTGGACGGATGCCCGTTCTAAAGGTAAACATTAAACACCCCAGGTATTCTATTAAAAACTTCTGAGTTAATGTTTAGAGAAATGTGTATTTAGATCATTTCTCTCGTTTACAATACAATAAGGTGATCTCAACATTTGAATTAACAACATTTTTAAAATTGTGCTTTCATTTTTCTTTCTGTTTTCTAAATTGTTTGAAATTTAAAGTTTGTAAAGGAACATAATATCAAGTTGATATTAAAAACGTAAGCTGTGGAATTTCGAATGAAGATTTCAGTTCTAGTTAATATCTTTGGTGAAGTGTATTGAGGGTATCATTATTAACAACAGACTTTGCTGTTTTTTTCTTACACATTGATACAAATTACACCCGCCGTTGACAAGTTTTATTAAGTGTTTTTTTTTCAAATGACTTATCATTGAATCAAAGCTTAAATCTTTTTTATATTGTTTCGTTTAGTTTAATAATATTTTATTGTATAATTATACGCACAATATACAATTTCAAAATTTTACAGACATAATCAAGTGTACATACAAAAGGGTTGGGCCAAAAGTTCTAACAACATTATCGTGGGCCCTTCCCCGACATTAGTCAGAAATAATTAATACTAATACTATTTGAATAAAATTGTGTGATATCAAATAATTATTAATTTTAGTTTTAAGTAATTTTTAGGAACTAATTTTCAAGAACTAATTTTTACAAATGTTTTATATGTAAATATAAATAAATCGAATGAGAAATTAATAGAAAAAATATATATAAAAAAATTAGAAATATAGATAAGCATTATAATAAAATTATGATACTAAGAATGATTAAAATAAGTTATTTAAATATTTTAAATGTATAAAGTATAAGTTTCAAAAGTCAATAGTGTTCCATTTAAAGTTATTTATGGCTTTTGAATTAGGTGTTCTAAGTATCAAATTTTGTGAAAAAGGAATAAAGAATACAATGAAATAATAAACTTATTGTAATAGTTACAAAAACTGCAAAAATAAATAAATAAATAAATACGAAGATATTCACCGCACAAAACCCTCGTATTGTTTAAACTATGAAATTATCTGATATTTTATACAAGATATAAAACGAGTTTTTCAAATGAAGAAATTCTGATTTTGACACTAAGAATATAGTAAGCACAAATGAACATATGTTTTGCTGAATAATTTATACTTATTTATTATTTAATTGTAAAACAATTACATCCTGAAGGGACATCAAGAATTTTAAATATGGCATATTCAAATCAATGGTTAAGGCCCGCCCTGGTGGACAAGTCACATGGTAAAGTGCCGTTAAATGGGAAAGAAATGACACACTTGTGCGTTATGGTATCCTCGAATTTTTCTCACAACTCTTTCTAAGATATTTCGATTACAATTAATAATAAAAACATAAATACCTGTTCAGATGCTTTTCGGGCTTGCTCAACAAAGACATTTAAATTTTTCGACATCCACTGGAAAGCTTCCTGTCTCGTGAATAATGCTTCAGGGTCGTCAGGTGATATGACAACATGTTCATATACCGCTACTTTCACTTTTGCACTTGTTATCATAGAGATGCCAATCGATAACAAAAAACAGCAGACGACATTTTTCTTTGCTTCCATATTCCATAAATAATAATCCATTACCGTTTTATAATATTATACGATAACACGATATTTCTGTAGTTTCAAACTTTGAAAACAAATTAAGTGTAAAACGTTAACGTTTTTACGGAATTTTATCCGCAATTCAAACACATCATAATAATACGTATTGAATAGTCATGAATTGTTTTCAAAATAATGATTCGTTAATATTTGCCAGTATCTAACTGAATATTAAATATCCTTCAAAAGTTCTTAAACGATTTTCTTACCGCTTAACGCTCCTCTATTAATAAACACACCCGACTATTGTTTATAATATCTTCTTGAAAGGTAAGTATTTACTGCTCAAAAATAAGGTTATCGAATGCTTAAATCTACCTTATCTACAGGTGAACCAGTGATCTTCTACCGATGTCTGTATATATCCTACCCAATTACTGAAAGTAACAACGCGATATTAAAATGAAATATGCGCGCTTTATGTAATAAACAAAGAAAACTGAAAACATCTGCGCACTTTAAATAATAATAATTCAAGTGTAGCATTTCATTGTATGAACCACTGATGTTGAAATATCGATTTAAAATGCTTGAATAACACGCAATGTTAAAACACCCACCAATCTTTTAAACGTTATAACGACACAAGATTAAAGTTAATACCATCGATATATATGCTTAACTTAAAACTATATCTTAATGTCAAATGACGCACGCACGTAGTGTACATTAAAGATGTCAACGTGAAATAATAGTAGATAAGAGCTATCAGTTTAAACATACATTTTATGTTCTGTTATTTCTTTACTTCTGTTTAATTAAACAAAGAAGATCAAAATTTAAAATGGAAAATGAACGCTTTTATGAGCTTACAATAGTTGATATTTGCTTATATTATACATATTATAAAGACATCATTTTTTTAAATTTTGCTTTATAAATGCTGAATAACAAATGGTTGTTAGTGGAAGTTTATTAATAATAAACATGTATTTTGCAAGGATTGTCCAATTTCCTAATGAAATTCAGAGACAAAGATTGATAAAGATAACAAATGGAGTAAAGTTTTAACAACATTCATTCCTATGACTACATGCATCTCATATTTAGCTCGCGTGCTTTTTAATTGAAATTTCGCTTGCATAATAAATGATTTACGCCTAACTTACAAAGTATATTAAAATTGTATAGAACATCCTTTCAACTATTGGTTTTACATTTAATGACGTCAATATAAGACAATTTAAGAGGGCTGTATTCCATTATCATATGTCTTTCTGTAATGTTATGAAGTACACACAGTACACTCTTAGTATTATTAGCACCTTATGAAAGACTGACTGTTGTGACTTGATATTCAAGTGATTATAATGTTTTGATCATATCAACTTATCAGAAGAGAGATTACAAAGGTATATCTCATTTGTTCCCAACCTTTTGTATTGTTAACACAAGGCTGCGAACGCGTTATACCTGAAGAGTTTTTTCCGTAATTTATTGATATTATTATTTAAACAATTAAATAAGTTGGGACAGACAATGCCAAATTTAACGTATAGCAAACTTGTCTCTCTTCAGTGTGACACATCAGGATATATTGAATGTTACATAGCTTCATGGATTGGGAAAGTTGTTCCGTTCACTTTAGTTGTTTTTTGAGTCATTGGAAACCTCCTTAATTTGATGGTTTTATCATCGCGTCAACTTCGAAAAAAGTCAACGTGTGTATATCTGATATTTCTAGCAGCTACAGATACGATAGTTTGCTGTACAGCACCGTTGCCTAATACTTTAAGGATTGCCTTTGGCATTGAAATTCGTTCTTTGTCTTCATTTAGTTGCTCCTTTTCAATATGGTCATTATTTGCGTCAGGAATGATGTCATGCTGGATCATCGTTTTGGTAACAGCGGAAAGAACGTTTGTAACGCTGTTTCCGACTACAGTTAAGCCGAAGATGACACCGAGAAACGTTGTTATCATTACCGTTGTCACATTGATTCTCGTCATCCTATTAAACGCACATTTGATTTACGGCAGCACCATGATTGAAAGACAGATTAATATTACAGATAATTATGTTACAATAATCCAGACAACCAATCATTGCTCCTTACGCAAAGGAGAATACTCAGAATTCTATAACGCCGTATGGAAAAAATTGCTTCTTATTCTTGGATCAGTTGTACCTCTTATACTCATTATCACGGGAAATGCTATTGTTGCAGCATCATTGATAAAGAGCAAACGAGCACTTCGCCGTGTTCAAATAAATAACACTCTTGTAGATCGAAACACCCGGCAATCACGTACAAGTAATGTCAATTACAAAATGTTTTTCATTCTCTGCAGTGTATACGTTGTCACAACTGTTCCCTATGGCATGTACATTAACCTTCTCGAATTCGGCAAGGAGGTCGACGAGCATACACTAGCAAAGTATCAGCTGCTTAACGTTATCACGAGATGTTTGATTTGGAGCAACTTCAGCTTCAATTTTCTGCTCTACTTCATGACCGGATCTTTGTTCAGAAAGGAATTTCAGAAAATTCTAGAGTCAGTTCATAAAACAATAACTTCGGTTACAAATCGAAGTGTTCAACCACAAAACGTCCAAAACCATTAGATATGTTTTTTTTCTTTTGTTATTATCTGTTATATATAATTGAAGATTTTTTAACCTCATCTAACAATCTCATTTGGTTCCAGTATTTTTTTAATTGTGATATCCAAAAAATTTGAAAATCAAACATTAATTAATTAAAAATGTCGTAGACTTCAAGGAGCATGTTCATGGACAATAATAATCTTGTACAAGATTCAGCATTATTTACATTTACGTAACTATAAAAATGGTTAGAGTTGTTTTTATATGACAATTTCCTGATTAACTATGCCAATCGGCGTATGTTCATTAAATGATAGAAAGTGTGCACCTTAGGACTGGAACTTAAGAAAATGAAATTTCGGGACGTGGTCCTGGCGTTTAATGTTACAATTTACAAAAATTCTAATACTAATAATGAACTAATTATGATGATACAATTACAACGAACCACGTAAATAGTGACATTCCAGAAAGAAAATATTATGTCATGTCCAGTGATTACTGACAGAACAAACAGGCAAGTTATTTAAGGATGCAGAACAGCGCAGTCAACGATGATTTGACATGTAAGTAAAGAATTGTGAAAATATTTAATGCTATCTAACACAGCAAAAATTGAAAGCTTAAAATGCAGACTTGCCTTCAAAGACTTCAAAGAAAATTTTGAAAGTCTGTTGTTGACAGTTATGATTTTATGCATCAATTATATTATCATCTTTCTCTCCAGTGATACAAGTTTTGTGAATTTTGCCTTTAGATCGGATTCGATGATAACAAATTGTTACAATTCATCGGATTCGGTTTGCGTTGCTAGTGTTATTTTATCACTTAGCGCGTATATATTAACTCATCATGATTATATTTCTTTCATAGATATTGAACATCATTAGCGCCGATGGCTATGGTTATTTTATCTGTACTTTAACTTAGATTGCCTAAAATATCATTTCAGTTAATAGTTGCCCCATGCATTTAACATCTTATATTTATAATTTTAATAATTTTCTTTGAATTTCATATGATAATATTTTAAGTATTAATATTTTATCAGACTCCATCAAATGGATAGCGCCGCCGGTTTTGGCTCTCGTTTTTGGTTATTGCCATGTGGACTTTAACCTGTACCACTTAAGCTGATCACTTCACACGCGATTCATGTGTGAAAATATCGAAAATTACGCATTTAACCTTGTCATTGGAATATCACTTTTAAAATGAAGAATGTTTATATATGTTATGGGTTTCATACTGTTAATCGGTATTTAAAATGTTTTTTCTTTGAATGAATGATATGCGAAAGTGGTGACATGAAAATATGTTTAAAACATGTATAAATCCGTGCTATCAATCATTACTATTATAATTGTTTGGTTATTTTTAGAAATTTCATTTAGAATTCAAAAGTAAATGTACAAATTATAAATTATTTCATAAGAAATAATGTGAAAAATGTCAGATTTCAAGGTTTAACTGCATAAATTAACGAGACTTGCACCCAAGTCGAACTATATCTACAAGGCTTTAATCACTCTTCGTTGATACGACATTCAACCCCATGGGTATATATAATATTTTTGAAACTTTTTTACTTGCCCAAAATTTAAGATCTATTTTTTCATGTCCTTTATACCCTTTAAATCATTGATTGCAAAGACGTATAATGTGCGGACTTTGCTTTTGGTATTGTTATAATTCATATTGCTGTTTAAATTGCTGTAAATGTTTATGCTAACTTCAGAAATATGACTATATTTTGTTGTTGTTTATTGAGAGAAATGAGATTTGAAAAGACGGAGAAGTAGAGTAGCCATGAACCACAATGCGGAATGGTACGAGTTAAGTGATTGGTAACCTTCTGTATGTTTTATTATTTGAGAAAAAGTGCCCAATATTTATCATATAACCAAAGTTTCATCTTTGGAGTTTACATTTCTTTTGACATTGTTATTTGTTGCATTTTGTCTATTTCTTTTTGCTCTAGATAAATCAGTGTGATTTATTTACTATTCAGATGTTGTACCCTTAATTAATAAAAAGAGAAAAACGCAAAGTCGTATGTTGCAAAATATACATGTATGTTGTATTTTTGTTGTATCTAATTAAAATATCATATTACAAAATGCTCTTTATTATTTATTTTACATCAATTAACAGTTTCGCAAATAGGATATTCACGTATGAAATCCAAAAGTACCAACATGAAACAATATTGTTTGTTACACTGCAGAAAGAATTGGACACAGTGAGTTATTTTACAAGTTGTGGAGATTCTGCAGTTATTGAAATTTTTGCAGCAGCACATTATATGCCGTATTCCGGTACATTCCTACAAAATGCATTATAAAACATCGATTTAAAAACGATCATATATGTCAAATATAAGAATCTCCAAAAAGGCGATTTTATTCTACTTTTTGATCGTGATTTCTACCAAGCATCTAGAGATACTACTTCAACACTAAATTGAAATAGAGAGAAACAGAAGACCTAAAGAAAGCCAACACGACTGCGTCTTGTTTTGATTAAGTCTGTTCATGGACTGTTCATTGAGTTAAATCCATAAATCAAAGCATAATGAGTTATATAAAACGATTAATTTAGAGTATCTGAGTGAACCACTGATCGTTCGGTTTGATAAATTTGTTAAGCTTACCTTCAACCCCTGTCACACTAAGGCGGCGTTCTCACGGCGTCCAAAGAAAATTCAGAACGCCGAGGTGAGCACAGTAGGATCGCAAACATCGCCGCAGCATCGCCATAGCATCGCAGTGGCATCGCATAGAACGCCGACCGACGGCGCGCATTTGGAGCATGCTCAAAACAAACGCCGTCACTCGGCGTTCTGAAAAGAGCGCTGTGGGATCGCAGTAAGGACGCCGTAGCAACTCAGTAACATCTCCTACAACGCAACAGGAGCGCCGTAAAAGCGCAGCAGGATCGCCGTATTTAGCCTCGGCGCTTGTACGGAGATTGTACGGAGTCTCTATCGCGTTTATACTGCGTGTGTACGGCGCTTTTAAGGAGC